AGATATTGCATTTTGATTTTTTAGCCATTAAATCAGCAAAGACGTATACTTGATTTTGGGCGGAAAAAAATCAGTTTTTTAGCCATAACACAGCCAAAAATGGTCCTAATGAGGATTGTAATACCTCGTATGGCTTTAAAAAAACTATTTATATTATCTGGATAAATGATTAAGCCGAAGTATGTACATCATTTTTATTATATACTTGTACTTTTTCTTAGCATTGATAACCAGTTTTTGATTTTTCCGGTATGTTAATAAATTTTCTCTCTCGAAAATCACTTTAAAAAGCTCTTGAATGTATCATATAAAAGCATACCTTTCCAAATTTGATCGTTCTAACTCTACCTTTGAATGGTATTACTTACTTGCCCAACAACAGGATAATACTAATCCGCAGAAATATAATGCAATAAAAGATCGGAGAACCATAGCTATGAGTCTGAATCAATCCAATGGCTTATGCGAAACTGAGGCTATTCAACACCCGAGAGCACTATTTTAAGTGAGAGTCTTAAGTTCAATGGATTGCTTGTAGTTAGATCAGAGAGGCACAGTTTCTTATTCAATATTAGAAACTAAGAGCAGTTTTGCCATTTGCAAAATTCTAACTTGCTCAGAACCTGCGTTCAACCGGTTTTTATTGTGTCTCCGGAATCAGAGAGAAATTATCATTGTAAACATAGTCTTACAGGCCTTGGGGCTTTTCACACGCCGTATGTATTCTTCCAGTATTTGCATCCGGCTTTTCAAAGCATGTATATATGTACACATTGATCTTTTAAATATAACTGAAAATTTGAAACTATATTATTTTTGGCGCCGTGGATAGCGCTAAGTAATGTGACCAGCACTCAGTAAGCAGCCTTTTAAAGTCTTTATGTTTTAGTATTTAGTTCTATGAGCAAAATCAAAGTATTTTAAACAATAAAGCTCATTATTTTATTATCATTAGCTTAAAAAATATGATGCAGTGGAAATTAAGCAAAAAATTTAAAATAATTCTGTACCTCGTAAGTATCAATTGATTAATTTAATACGCTTATACAAATTTGCCAGAAATTTAATAATTTAAATAATTCTATTATTTAAAACTAATAATCCATTAGTTTAAGCTAAGAACTAAATCTCCTACAATAAAATAATTCTAAATTACAATAAATAATTATTTATAAATAAAAAAAAACAGATGATTCCCTGGTTTGCACAAATTTCCGTTAGTCTTTTCTTGGCAGCATCTTTGTCCACACATCCAATGGTCACACTGTGTGACATTGAGTTGACTTTTGCTTTAGTTTAATTACAATATAATTCGATTTATTCGCAAATAAGTGAGGAGCCAAGCTTCGAAACTCGCACGGGAGCAGTGCTCCACTTCATCCGTCGAATCCCGGGGTGAATGCGCTGTCTACTCAGCGAATTCAACGGATTCTACAGGTTCTAGCGGCCGCGAGGTGTTCCGGGGAGACTTGGGATTCCTCCTTCTCCACACCGCCGAACCACAACAAACGATCCAAGCGATCCCATCCGATCTGACATTATGTAAGTTGAGCGTGCCCACGCCTTGAAGAGTAAACAACAATCGCATCATTACGGACCAATTATTACATTATCCTAGGAGTAGTTTTCGTAAAGAATATAGGGGTCGGATATTGACCACCCTTTACTGACCTTCCTAGAACCAAAATCAACTGTAATAACCAAAGTTGTAAACAAATATCTGTGTATGCATGTATAAAAACAAAAGAATCAAGATCGTATATATGGCAACTATAGTATGGGTATTACATTATAGATCTTGAAAGTCGTTGTTGACTCTTAATATAAGAAAAAATTAATGTTAAATTAAAAGAACAGTTAAAAAGATACGTATTCAAACTTAGATTGTGATCTTATCTAAGTCCATATCTATTTCAGAACTGACCGGGATCTAGATCCACACCGGCCATGCGTTCTCGCAGCAATTCTGGCGTCCGATTGGACTACTACCAACGCATCGTACACCGGTTAATCCTGGCCCACCAGGAACCGGTTACTGGCCTTTTCCCCGCCTCCAATGTGAATTCTCATGCATGGATTAGGGATAATGTGTACTGCATCCTGGCTGTTTGGGGCCTGTCTATGGCGTACAAGAAGATTGCCGACCAGGACGAGGATCGTGCCAAATGCTATGAGCTGGAGCAAAGCTGTGTAAAGCTGATGCGCGGCTTGCTCATGGCCATGATGAACCAGAAGGACAAGGTGGAGAAGTTCAAGATGACTCAGAGTCCCTATGATTCGCTACACGCTAAGTACTCCAGCAAGAACGGATTGCCCGTGGTTGGAGATGGTGAGTGGGGCCATCTGCAGATCGATGCCGTGTCCCTATACCTGCTGATCTTGGCCCAGATGACAGCCTCGGGTTTGCAGATTGTCTTCTCTCTGGACGAGGTGTCCTTTATCCAGAATCTGGTCTTCTATATCGAGTCGGCCTACTCGATCCCTGACTACGGAATATGGGAACGCGGCGACAAGACGAATCACGGTGAGCATAACTTTAGGGGGCTGTTGAGTGTATACTTCAAAAATTGGAAACTTGGAACCACAATAACCTAACAGAAAACAGTTATTATTTATTTATCTTTTTAAGTTTTCTTGATTTCTTAATTGACTAAAAAAAATTATGGTTTTTTATCAGAAATCAATTTTTAGATAAGGAAAATATAGTATTATCAATGGATCCAATTCAATATTTTGGATTTCAATATTTTGGATTTTTAATTAATTACTTTCTGCTATCTCTATAATTGTTAATTAGTCATAATTGAAATAGTTTAATCTAAGATTAATACATTATCTTTGTTTGACCAAATATTAATACATTTGTATGTTTTCAGGGGAACCGGAGTTGAATGCCAGCTCCATTGGCATGGCCAAAGCGGCGTTGGAGGCCATGAACGAGCTGGATCTGTTTGGAGCTCGCGGCGGACCAGCCAGTGTGATCCATGTGCTGGCCGACGAGGCCCACAAGTGCCAGGCGGTGCTCCAGTCGATGCTGCCCCGCGAATCCAACAGCAAGGAATTAGATTCCGGACTGCTGTGCGTAATCGGCTTTCCCGCCTTTGCAGTGGATGATGCCCAACTGATTCATAACACCAAGGATGCAATTTTATCCCGCCTGCAGGGCAAGTATGGTTGCAAAAGATTTCTACGCGATGGGTACCGTACCCCAAAGGAGGATCCCTCCAGACTCTACTACGAACGCTGGGAGCTGCGCATGTTCGAAAACATCGAGTGCGAGTGGCCACTCTTTTACTGCTACCTGATCTTATTCCACGCCTTCCAGAGCGACAAGCGTGCGGTCGAGGAATATGCCAGCAGGCTAGAGAAGATCATGGTGCGCTCGGAGGATGGCATACTTCTCGTCCCGGAGAGTTATGCGGTGCCGCAAGATCTGGTGGGCTTTGAGTACCAGAAGCCTGGTTCCCAGGCCCGCGAAGTCGTCGGTCGATGTCCCTTTCTGTGGGGCCAATCCCTGTTCATCCTCGGACGGTTGCTTCAGGAGGTGAGCAATTGTATGCCATATTTCTTATTCTTAGCTAGAGACAGCCAAATGCTTTGGCGACCCTGTAAAGTATTTATATCGATCTAGTTTTTGTTTGTTTATTTGTTCAAATTCTACACCTGCGGGTACATGGTTAGGAAAAGGAAGTTTACCCATAAATATAAACTAGTTTATATTATCAAAACACCGAAACCGAAACCCCATATGGTTTATTTTTCGATTGCTTCTTATTTTTGTTTCTTAATACCCCTCAGGGTTTCCTTGCCGTGGGCGAATTGGATCCCTTAAATCGTCGCCTGGGAGCTCAAAAGAAGCCGGATGTGGTCGTCCAGGTGGTTATCATTGCCGAGGACAACGAGATCCGCGACAAGCTGGCCGAACACGATCTGCACGTTCAGACGATCGCGGAGGTAGCACCAATTGAGGTGCAACCAGCCCGTGTGCTAAGTCACCTATACACATACCTGGGACGTAACCGGAAGTTGGGACTAAGCGGCAGAAAGTCACGGGATGTGGGCATCCTCAGCACCAGTAAGCTGTACTCGTTAAAGGATCGCATATTTGCCTTTACCCCGCAGGTGAGTGAAATGGAGACCAATTAGCTTTCTCGGATTACCCAAGATAGCCGGCCACCCCTTCCCAGATTCCCGATTGTCCCGATGCTCTGATTTTACACTTTCTATTGTATTTTTGGTCAGGGATGCAAACTGGTTTTTTAAATGATATTAACACAGCTTTTTAAACCATTATTATTGAAGCTTTTATTTAGCAATTCAGTAACCCCTTTAACTTTGATAATATTTTAAGGATTTATTAAGTAATACAGAGGTTTAACTATGATTAAGCTGTGTGAAAATTTAAAAATTCTAAACTTTTTTAAAAATATAATAATATTTAATAATATATAAATTACCAAATAGTAGATCGTTTTGCATCCCTGTACTTGATGATTGACTTATGATTTCTACTGTTTATCACGCATCAGTTCGCCGACCTGTCGCGCTTCTATATCGCCTCCGATAACGAACTCATGATCGACATCCTCAAGGGCGAGATAAATTTCCTCAAGTCCGCTTGGGATCTGCTGGGTCGTCCGCTGGTCACCCTGGTGCTGAAGCGCATCCACCTAGGTCGGTCAACGGAGAGAGAGAGAGCCGAAATGTTTCTTATATTCACTCCATGTCTCTTTTTTTATTCGTATTATTATTATTTTAATCTAATATTTATTGTGCGCGGGTTTCTTATGCTCCCACCCGACTGTTTTCCCCATATCTTTTGTGAATTGCTCTGTTGATTTGATTAATTAATGCAAGGGTTTGCTTTTGGTATTGGTATTGTTTATCAATTAATTGACTGACTCGCACACTCGAACCACACACACAAATGCACACACTCGACTCGTTAACTCTATTAGAAAATCGAATCGGTTGCCCAAGGTCTCCGGAATTTTTGTGTTATATTCAATTCTTCTCGTTATATTTCGCAAAATAAATTCCATATAAATAATTGATCTTGACCTAAAGTTTATTCCGAATATGTTGGGTAGCTGCTTCTGAAACTTTAGTTACTTTTCTGTCAGCTTTTAGTTGTTTTTTGCTTTTAGTTAACTTTAGTTTGGTTTTGGTAATATATATATACACACACACACTCGACCATATATACATAGACTATATAAAAAAAAACGATTACACACCACCTTATATACTCTGTGCATACAGTTGCGGTTAAAATAATAGAACGCAAACAAGCTTTTGTTTCTTATTTTAAAATCTATCTGCCTTATCTTTTGGAGACTAAAATCTTCTAAAATATCATAAATTCTGTATATATTTCTCAAACCCAAGCTGCTATTTTGACCGCAAATATATTATTTGTTAGTTTAATATAGCTTTAGTTTAGTTCTTTTTATTTCTCAAAGCTCTGATCTGGTCTTTTATGAACTTTTTTATACCCTTGCCCCTATAATTTCCATTTCCGCGCTCCCCTCCAAAAAAGAACTCCTCAAAAATTGGCCAATATCGAAAAAAATGAAATGAAAACCAACAATCCTTTCTCTTCTTTATTTTATCCCAAATAAAAAAAAAACAATAAATATACACAACAACAACAACTACAATCAACTGCAACAACAACAACCACACTTACACAGCATATCGACTATGAAGAATATTATACAACACGCGATCCCGATTTGCTTGCCAGCAATTTTACCACAAATTTAGCATTCTTGACCAACAATTGGCGTCACATGTTGGGCAGGCCGACAATCACACTAATGGCAACCCACTATATGCTAGGTAACTACCCGAAATAAAAAACAAAACAAAAATATCCTCAAAGCAAAAAATTAAAACCCACCCAGCTCGATTCTGCATTGCCACCTTAAAATCCAATTCCAAATCCAAATCCGATTCCCACTCTGCACCCAACGGCGAACACACTTGATTCCAAGAACCACTGCATATATGCAATTCTATATATACTATATACTCCACACACCAAAGCCAAAAACCGAACGATATGGAAACGATCTGTGACCTGTGACCCCTGCTTGTGTCTGCTTAGTAAATGGCCTGACTGCTTTAGCTCTTTCTGCTCATTTTCCTCATTTTATCTACTGCCTTTGAATCCAAATCCAAATCATTCCTTCTCGTCGTGACCCTATATGCACCTATATCTTGTTCTAGTAATTTACAAAGTTTTTATGAAAGAAATATAAATATTATTGTCTCAAATATTATATATTATGATGTCTCTCCTCAAGTTATAGGTGTATAGTTAATCATTCAATATTCTTTGATATATAAGGTACTCTTGTGTGCTTTACACTTCTTTTGGATATTTGGACTTCTGATCTCTCTATTTACATTTTCATGTCACAAATTTGTGCCACAAAGGTCCTTAGACCAAACACACATTTTAAAACAATTAACGAACTTAAGACCATTCAAATAAAAGCCAACAATTTCGGCATTTAAAAGTTTATGACTTCAGAAAAATATGCTATTTGTGTTTTGAAAACAGCTTCTTATGAGTAAATAACCAATATCTGCGCAACGCCTGTGATTAAAGTTAATTAAGTATTTGCTAATCCTTGTGGCTGTGGCTAATCGATGATTCCCCCACTACCTTTCGCTTGCACCTAAATCTAATCTCACTGACTAATTGCCGATGGTGCTGGAATCTTGTGCTTATATATCAGTTACTATTGTAATTTGTGTGACTAACCCGTAGTTTTTAAGCGGCGCTCCTAACCAAACCCACAACCCAGCATCCCAACCAGTCATGATCCACATTATCATTGATATGAACCGAAATGATGAGACAAAGTTAAGCTAACAAGATCCAATTGGATGCGATGCGGAATCCACAGATCAAGACAAGATACCGCTGGCCATGATCCAGACGATGAGGAAACTAAAGTCGGGCTACATCAATGGCACCCGCGTGATGTTGGGCAGCCTGAAGGACTTCCTCAACACTTCGGCCATTACGGATCTGAGTTTTCTGGGCAGCACAGAGGATGGCTATCCGGACCGCCTCCACCCTGATGTCCAGACCTACCTGGATGAACACCTTCTGCGCTCGTTCAGCAACCGCAGCACCATGAATCTGCGAGGTGGACAGCTGCGTCCGAGGACCCTGAGGCGCCGCATGTCCTGCAAGGGAGCAATCAAAAAGACGCGCTCTATTAATGTGGACTGTAAGTCATGACTTCCTTGGAATTAATATAATTCCTTAATACTGATGTCTTTCTACCGCCTTTCAGCTGACAACCTGGGCATGGAGGGACCTTCTCCACTCACCGAACGTCGCCTTTCTTCGATTGTGCCACCTCCCTGGCTGCAGGCCAACAAGCAGAGTCACGTCAGTGTATTTGCCACGACCCCGGAGGAGGGACCCGCCAGCTCGCCACTTCATCTGGGCAACGAACTGTCCGTCCGGGAGAACATCTATCCGGTGGATCCGCATCACAGCCGCTCGGCGATCGACAGACGCAGCGAGTTTGTTCGCCAGCAAGAGAGTTAGTCTGCCATTTGGTTTATAAATAATAGTTAATTCTCGTTTTTACTGAAGGGTGCAGATTATTATAGTATTTCTTGATTTTCAAACAGAATTTCGATCAGTTGAGTTCCAAAGCACCCTTCAGCACGTCCATTGAAATTTAATTAGTTATATAAGTTTACCCTTTTATTACCTCTTATTTTGTATAATTTTGTTAATGTTACGTTCTGGTTTTTGCCTTCTGTTTTCATTCATTTAAACGTATAATTTCGATTGGCCCATCTTCGTTCCTATATGCGATGTTGATAGTAACAGTGCCCAAAATTCTCATACAACGCCATCGTGCCGAAACCAATTTCGCGGATACAGAAGTTGAGGAGCTGATTGCGATGCTGCGCGAAACAGAGAATCTCGAGGAGCAAGGCGATATTCTGCAATATCTGGTGGACACACAGGGCCTGGATTTCAATACGGGTAAGACTTAATAAATAATTATTTCAAATAGGTTTTGGGGCAGCTAATTGCTTTGAATTTGGAGTTTTATTACAACTGGTTGAGAGAACACCCGGTTAAAAAAGTTTACATTACACACACACACCTGCTCTATAACACCAAACAAACAAAATACACATGCACATGCGTAGATTACACGCTGATACACGCTCACACTTCTTAACATCCGGTTAACTCTTAACTGAGGGTTATATCTTTTGGACTACAGATCGTTGGTATTGCGTTGAAAGAACGGTGTTTGCTATGACAGTTGAGTAAAAGGAAATTATATTCGATTTATAACTATAAATTCATAGTTAAGGTTGATTGATAATGAGCATATTGGATCTTTTTTACTATCTTAAAATCAAAGATAGCCTCAACTGTTATAGTGGTTTTCCAAGAGTAGTGAATTGATCCCAAAATGGACCTACAACCTGGCATTGGACCATTTATTTTGCATATCCTGTTCTCATTCCGTTGTTTTTACCTCGTACTCTTGTCGTTTTGTCCCGTACTTCGTCCTCCGTACTGTAATCGTACCGTTCTCCACTCCACTCCACGGCGTATAACAGCTGGCCTGGGATTCAAGAATAAATCGGAAGACAATGCGAGCCCCAATGCCAATAATGCAGCCGCTGGTAAGTCCGTTGATCCGTCTTGTGTTGATTGTTGTTGTTGTGCGGGCTTTGTAGACGTACGTACCCACCATACCTTCCACCCATTGGTAATACCCGGCTCCCAATATCCCAATCCTTTCCCTATACATTCTCTATACACATCCTCCACTGATTGGCCATCAACTCAATTCGTGTTATCTGTACAACTATTCCCATATCCTTGGTTCTATTTCCTCGTTTAGTGTATCCATTTCTGAAACCTACATATGTACATACCATCCAAAATGTATCATCGCTTTGCTTTGGGTTTTGCTTATTTAATATATGATTTAAATACAATATTAATTTAATCATGGCTTCTAGTTTATTTGAACATCTCTGGTTAACACAGAACTTTAAAGGGCAAATAAAAAGTTCAAATCAGAGATACGCCTGGCTTTATGTTATTATTAGCATTATTAACCTCTCAGTTATCATTTTTTTGCCTATGTTTACCAAACATAATTTAATTCTTTAACATTTTATTTTATTTTCTTCGCCCACGCACTTAACCCCACATGAAACACACACACATCCCGCATGTCTCTTGCGATATCCATTAACATTAACCCAAAATGCAACGAACTCCGTTTCCGATTCCAATTCTTCCGCCCAAAACCATAAACCAATCCTAACCCAACTAACACATAATGAAAACCGAAAACTAAAGAGCTCGAGCAAGCGTTTGTGGATGAGGTGGTGCTGGAACTGGCTGGTGGTGGTGGTGCAGGATGTGCGGGAGGAGCAGGAGGAGCTGGTGGTGCAGGTGATGGGGCCAAAAAGAGTCCAACAATTGTCCTGCCCACGGTGATCATCGATGCTGCTACAATTCCAGCGGCCATTAGCACCGATCCGGATAATGCCAATCCTAGTTCCGCCACCGCCAACAGCAATATCCAAAGCATCGGCAACACTAGCAACGTTAGCAGCAGCAGCAGCAGCAACACCAGCAACCACAACAACATGAGCCCACATGAGAATAACCACGATTCTTCCCAATCTGAAGGAATGCTGGAAGAGGGACGCGTAGTGACCGTTCGGGATCTTCTCAAGGGACTCTACGAGAAGGCTTGCCAGCAGAAGCTCTGGGGACTTGTCCGTCACACGGCCGGAATGCTTGGCAAACGGGTGGAGGATCTGGCCAAGGCTGTCACCGATCTGCTCGTCCGGCAGAAACAGGTCACCGTGGGAATGCCGCCAAACAACGAGCACACAATCACGGCACCGCTGCCGGAAGTCGAACTGCGACAACTCATCCATGATGTGAGTCCATCCATAATGTTTAAGGCGTATCACAGAATAACTATTAACTCCTTAACAGGCCTATGGCGACGATGAGAGTACAGCGATGCTGACGCAGGAACTGATGGTCTACCTGGCAATGTTCATCCGCACAGAGCCGCAGCTGTTCCACGAGATGCTGCGCCTGCGCGTGGGCTTGATAATCCAGGTGATGGCCAAGGAGCTGTCCCGCACTCTCAACTGCGACGGCGAGGCGGCTTCGGAGCATTTACTTAACCTCTCGCCCTTCGAGATGAAGAATCTCTTGTACCACATACTCAGCGGCAAGGAATTTGCGGTCAGCAGCGGTAAGCAGATAGTTAAAGGTCTTACAAAATCGGGATATATATCTATATAACGCTTTCCAGTGGCCCGAGGCAATCTGTCTATTGTAAGCTGCAAGAGCAGCCGCGTTAGTAAGAAGAGCCAAATTGGATTGGGCGATCCTGAGGGTGAGGACGCCCTAATAGCCACTATTGACGACAGGCAGGGACAATGGCTGCGACGCAGGCGACTGGACGGTGCCCTGAATCGTGTTCCCCGTGATTTCTATTCGCGTGTGTGGACTGTTTTGGAAAAGTGCCAGGGTCTAGCCATCGAGGGTCGTGTTCTGCAGCAGAGTCTGACTCAAGAGATGACCCCGGGTGAACTGAAATTTGCCTTGGAAGTGGAGACAGCTCTCAATCAGATACCACAGCCCGAGTACAGGCAATTGGTGGTCGAGGCCCTTATGGTACTAACCCTCGTCACCGAGCACAACATGGTGCCCACACTAGGTGGCATAATTTACGTGGAGCACCTGGTCCACAAAGCCAACCAGTTGTTCCTTGAGGATCAGCGCAAAGTGCAGGGTGATGCCACTTTATGCTGCGCGAAGATCAAGGACGGCAAGGAGCAGCAGCAGGCCGCCTCCGGAATGCTTCTGTGCGGCGGCGCCGCATACATCTGTCAGCATCTGTACGACAGGTAAGGATCAGTAAAGGCTAATATAAATATATATTTTACTAACATTTGACCTTCTATTGCAGTGCTCCCAGCGGCAGTTACGGTACCATGACCTACATGTCCAGGGCGGTTGCCCTTGTGCTCGACTGTGTCCCCAAGCATGGCGAGATGGAGTGCGCCATCTCCTGAAGCGGGCGTTCACTTAATTTAATGCCAAAATCTCTGCAACTCTGGATACGTCCGTACTTGTTCTCGCTCACTCGCACTTCAGCGCCCTCTCCCCGTCTCTCTCTCGATCCTGCCTTTCTGTTTTTGTCTCTTTCCCTCTGACCTCAGACCCAAGCCCAACGATAATCTTAGTCAAAGGGCGCCTTGTATATATATTTTTTTTAACTTTTCCCAAAAAAGGAAGCACTTTGTTAATGCGTTCCGTTCTGACCAAAAAAAAAAAAAAAATAGTGAAGCCAATTTATTATGGTATTAGTATGTGTTGACCTCTTGGAAAGATAATCCAAAACTCTACCCTGAAGACCTATCCTTACCGGAGCCATATAGAAAGCCAACTCGCGCTGCTCGATACAGATTTCTTTTTTGTACTTGCGGCGACTACACTTTTGATTGTTTTAACATTAATATTTTTAAATGACCCTATTTTATATTATACGTTTAAATTGTAAAGTTGAACGCACAGCAAGATTTACAATAAAAATGTGTTTGCAATGTTCGTCAAGTGTTTTAATATTCGGCTAGAAGTTCATCGTACTGGAGTTCCAGTCCTGAGACTGAGGTTTTTTCTAACCATGCCAATACTTTCCCTATTTTTTATTTTTTTATATTTTTAGGTTCAAGAAAAACAAATTTCGTTTAGTTTTGTTAAGCATAAATATATATCATTTATTCCGTTTTTTTTTTCTTTGCTGTTTAATGGTCTTCAATTTGCACACATCAAATGTTTACAAAAATTGTATTCATTTACAAGTTTGTTTATTTGTTGGTTTGATGGAGTTTTAGACATTTTTGAAATGTTTTGGTTTGATCGCACTCATATCCACTCATCGAATCAAAAGCTCGGCTTGCAACATATTAATTTGTTTCACAATTAAGTAGAAGAATTACACGAAAGGGACAATTTAAGCGAGAAGGTGTGCGATTTTTGGTGTGGATGTGTAATATATATGCTAATGTGTGGTGTGTGGGTTATTTGTGTAAACAAAACGTATAGATTAGCGATGATGTTAAACGAGAGTTCGTAATTAAAAAAAATAGGATCCTAGAACAAGAATACTTAAGCGCCTAGCAGTAGCCCCTGTCGGGAACACGTCGGCGTGGAGCGCACCGAATGATATTGTCCACACGCAGGATCATTTCGGCAGCCTCGGAGGCGGACATCAGGACCTGGCGTTTCACGGCAAAGGACTCGGTGATGCCTAGTTCACGGACATCGGCCACCTTGCCCAGCTCCATATCCAGACCCAGAGTTTGCTTGCCTTGAGCGTGGGCGGCACGCAGCTCTGAGATTAGCTGAGCGGAATCGTAACCAGCATTGTCGGCAATGGCCGTAGGCAGAGACAGCAGGGCACCTGCAGATCAGAAAGACAATTAATAAGACGACATTTTAGGCGGTAAAAATAACCAACTTACGGGCAAAGGCCTCAATGGCGATGGCTTCCTTGCCGGGTGTCTCGGCCGCCTTCTTCAAAACGGCGGTGGCCATCAGCGCCTCGGAGCAGCCGCCACCAAAGATGATGCGCGATTCCTTAACAGTAGCCGCCAGCACGCACAGGGCGTCGTGCAAGGAGCGGTCAGCCTCGTCCAGGATCTGCTGGGTGGCGCCACGGATCACAATGGTACAAGCCTCGCCTAGCTTCACACCGCTGAAACGCAAAAGCGTGTCCTCGCCAATCATAACCTGCTCGATGACATCACATTCGCCCAGTTTCACCAGTGAGGGATTTTCGAAGGTAGAGACAATCTCGCCGCCGGTGCAGTAGGCCAGACGCTCGATACCATCGAAATCGGCATGCTCGATGGACATCACTTGGGCATCGGCGAACAGCTGCTCCGGGTAGTTGTAGATCAACTGTCGGTTGATGAACACATTACACTCGTGCTTGAGGATCTTGTCGACCTTTTCCTTCATCTTCTCCTTCTCGGCCATCTCCAAGTCGGCGATCTTGGCGAGCGAATCAACCTTGATGCTGCTGCCAAACACCTTGATCTTGTCGGTGTCCATGGGGGTGTTGGCAATCAGAATTTTGGCATTCTCAATCTGGAATAGTGAGAAACAAAGAACTTGAATGAAGTCACGTTCTTGAATTCAAGCTTAAACACATATTTCGACACTTCAAATTCCCGATGATGTGCCTGCCCAACAAACTCGTCAAAATGGCTGTGATATGAAGTCAAATCAACATAGCTCACAGTCATTTTAACGCGTTAATAGACAGCAAAGGTAAGGGATCATTCTGTAGGGTATATCACGATCGAATCACGAAACCACTTACTCGCTGTGGCTGGTGCACTCCGGGCTTCTTGTCCAGCAGGAAGCCCTCGTCCAGGAAGGAATCTCCCAGTGTGCCGCCAGACTTCTTGATGATCTGTATGGACCTGAGCTCGCCAGAGCCCTTCAGACGCAACACGGCATCCACCGCCAGATTGGCGAAGAAGTCCTTGTGCTGATGCAGGATCTTCGAAGAGAGGGTGGTGCGGGCAATGTTCAGAAGATCGTTGCGGAACTTCTCGTCGCTGGCCGAGTTGTCCTGGGCGGCGGCGGTGAGCGCCTCCAGAGCCACCTGGGTGGCCTGACGCCAGCCAGAGACGATGATCTGTGGATGCAGTTTCTGTTCGACCAGCTTCTCAGCCTCACGAAGCAGTTCAGAGGCCAGAACGGTGACTGAGGTGGTACCATCGCCCACTTCCTCATCCTGGACACGCGACATATCAACCAGGATTTTGGCAGCCGGATTGTCGACACCAACAGCACGCAGAATGGTGGCACCATCGTTAGTTACCTCCACCTGACCGGCATTGCGTCCGGTGGCTACCAGGATCTTGTCCATGCCCTTGGGGCCGAGGGTACTTTTCACCAGATCCCCAATGGCGATTGCGCCAATGAACGAGGACAGGCGGGCCATTTCGGCCTTCTCCTCCTGCGCCTCATTCTTGAGCACGCGCACGGGATTCAAGGACATCTCCTGCAAAAATACGATCGTAAGATTAGTTTTACTTTAAATACTAATATATAAGTAAAATACTTAATACTTAAATACTAACTAATACATCAAAACCACAAAACAAGAATTGGTTTCGAAAACAAATTTTAAATCCACAAATGTTACAACCACTCTTAAGAGTGTAAAATATATGAAATCGTTATAATATAAACTTTTAAATAATGTAATATCAAATTTTATTAAGTAAACGATATCACCGTAAAATTTTTTTGTAAGGATTGGAGAATTTTAAGACTTTTTAAAAGTCTTAGTCACAGTCTTAATCACTACAAAGATTTTTCTAAAGTTTTAATTATAAGAGGCAAATAAAGTAAATTCAACAAGTTAACACTTTTTTAACATTACATTAGTCAGATTTTATGTTCTTTTGAAAATGTAATTAAACATTAACATTTTTTGGGAACAGATTGTCAAAAAAAATTTCAAGACCGGAAAGAATTCTACAAAGATGACATCAGTTGGTTTAGAAGTCTCATTAGCATTCCAACCAAATATCTTGCAGAGGTATTATTTTATATGTTGAAAACACTTGTCTTTGCGATAATAAATTTTTACATTTCAAAACAACATTAAGATATTAGAATTTAGAATTTTAGATTGCTTCTGCGTGTTCAGAAGGCGAGCCAGTATGCTGCGTTTTTTTGCAAAGATTGCCTCCTAGACTGACAGAGTTGGAAGCCAATGCTAGCCAGATGGTTTAGTGGTTCGAAAATACATAAAATATATATATTGTTATGGTTTTTCTCTCTGTGCAGTCATATCGGCTCGACCTAACCCCCAAAACAGAAGGCGAGAGAACGGCGCCGAGTGATTCATCGGTCTCAAAAATGGCGTGGATTGCATCTGGAAGATTCTCCGGCCGCTCCTTGATCCGATCCCGGTCAGAAATCGATCTGCTGCACGAGATCGTTCAGATTCCGTGGTCAGAAGGAGAACCTTCTGGAATCTGAATCGAAATCGGAGTCCACAGCTCACGTGCAAGCCGACTGTCAAAATGGCTTGTGCCGAAAGACACCCGGCAAATAAAAACGCCGAATTGCCCGCAATTATCAATGAAAACTTCCCGAATTCACTCCACGCAACTCGTACTCGCCGTAAACCATGCGAATATTTCAATTGTTCGTTTTTAATTTACCATTTTCTATGTGTAATTAGTCGGTTTTTGATCACAGAATTTTCGAATACCACACGCAACGCAACAAAGCGACAAAATGGTGGAACCAAACCTATCGATTACTTTAAAATAACTGGTTAATATAAATACTGAAAAAATAAAGGTGCTAACGCGTAAATGTTATATTTCGTAGAATAAACTCATTAAAAGAATAAGAGAGTATGTCTGGCAACGTTAGCTTTCAAAATAGAAAATGTATTAATTTTTCATTGTTCTTAAAAAATGTTTTAGCGAATTGTCAAAAAAAAAAAAAATATATATGACCAATATCGTAAAGTTTAATATATTAAAGAAATTGAACACCGTTCCTAATCGATTGATTTCAAATTTGCCGCCAAACTAACTTTATTATTAACTATTATTTTTCCGAACTTGATAAGAAATTATATCTAAAACTATGTTTGCTTTAATATCTGCACAACTTTATATAAGTTAATCTTGAATTTTATAACTAAAAAAAAAATGTATAAATTATGTAAATTCCATTGTTCCACAATCGACGTAAATTTGATACGTAGAACAAGTAGCTTACCGCTTTTGTAAACAGAGGCAATTGATGGTAACCATCGCAATGCCAACTATCGGTTCCAGCACTGGGTTGGATATCAGAGATGCAAATTATGTTAGCAATCGATACAAAAAGGTGCAAATTGTCCGATATATTTTACAGCTATTCGTGGCTTGTAGCTTCGCAATTGCAACTTTGATACGGGAGCATTCCCATATTCGGGTCGAATGCGTTTATAAACACTATATCGTCGGCGGTATCTCAAGTTCTGCAGTGGCCTAGCCAGCAGAAAGTTTTGGATCTCGCTGGTGTTTCGGGTGTCTAGTTTCGGACCACTAATTTCCGATTTCTTCTCGGTTGCTGACGGATCGCCCAAGTAGTTCTTCTTCAGGGAGTTGGCACATCAACTGCGGTTTCTTGCGGGGACTGCTGGGAAACCAGCCACTCCCGGCGTTGCAGGAGCATTCCTGGAAGTTCCCCGTCAGCGGAATCCATGGATCTCCCGCTGAAGTTCGTGGCATCCTTGCAACCTTTCGAATCCAGAAAAACTGCGGAGGAACTCTTATTAGGGTAAGAGTATCCATGAAACTCTCTCAGTGATTGAAGAACCTGTCCAAGTGGCTTTAGAAGCGTATAAAAAAGTATAAAAAATAGAATCTATGTGCGTCCCAGTGGGAACGAATAACTACTAAATAAATGGAGTATTATGGAATTCGGACACAAGGATCCATAATCTAGCTGGGAATGAAGAGTTTTTCGCATTAGCTTTCGTTCTACCATATAAGTCTCTTAACCGGCCAAAAACTGGGATTGCAGAAGGAGGTCAGTAAGAATCCCTCCCAGTGGCACCACTCAACGACAATCTGCTCATGGCTTTGGCCAGCGATAGAGAGGAAAGAATGGACGACAGCAGCAGCGGACGCACTTCTCTGGCGGATAGCGCCAGCCTGACAAACTCCTCCCTGCGCAGTGGCACCTCCTCCCAGAGCATCCACAACAATGATGGAACAATCCGGGTGTTCAACTTCGTCGTAGGCGAATATGAGCGCTTCCCTCCCAACATGCTGTGCGAGGAGATCTGCAATGCCATGTGCCGCCTGCTGTGTATTGCCCCTACTGCCCAGCTGCTCTATGGGATACGGGAGCATTCCACCTCGCGGCGTCCCTCGCCTCTGGTGCGTCTAGATCTCACATGGTCCCTGCCTGGGGAGCGACTTTCCTGCCAGTTGGTGTACTGCTTCCGGATGCGTTTCCGGGTACCCGAATTGGACAGTCAACTGGAGCTAATTGACGGACGAAGCCACAAGTTTCTCTACCATCAGATGCGCTACGATATGCGCACCGAACAAATCCTGGAGATACGCTATCCAGAGCACAAGGACAAATCAACGGGCCTGGCGGTAATGGACATGCTGATCGATGATCAGGAGCAGACGGAGGATCAGCAGGGGATGCGTTCCATCGAGAAGTTGTACAAACTATATTTGCCACCGAGCTTGTGGCGGGCTCATAGCTTCTTTGTGGGCTCCAAGATACGCGAGGTATTCCGCAATCTGAAGGCCAACTCGCCGAGCGTAGAACGTCTTAAATGGCACTACGTCCACCAGGTCTCTCACTTGGCGCCCACCTATATGACGGAGCAATTCACCTGCACCGTTCAGTATCTGCCCAACGAGGAGGTGGCCCGTGGAAGTGGACCCATCGGTACCAGTCTGGCTCACTCAGTAAGCAACTCCACGTCGACTTTGGCCAGCTCTGGATCCCTTAATACCCTGTCCACGGTCACAACGAATATCAATCATGGCAGCAGCGGCAAGAAGAGCAAACGACGATCCACCAGTGCAGGAATTGATGTCTATGTGCGGGTCTTTCCACACGATTCCCTGGAGCCGGGACTCAAGGTGGCCAGAGTCACCTCGGAAGCCACACTCAAGGTAAATATAGCTATATGCTATTATTTTACAATCACTTTCAAGTTTTTGTGAATCAGAATATCAGCCAATCTGCTCGTTTCCTAAAACTGTATAAATCTTATTAGGGTAGCTTGTTGCTATTCGACATGTTTCATGTTTTCTTAGATTAATTATATACCCTCTGACCGAAGTAAAATAAAAAAATAAGGCTTATCGGTGGCATAAAATATGGGGTTTTCAGGGGGCGCGGTTAAGCTTGTTAATATTTAAATCCGGAATATAAACATAAGAAATTACTCAAAAATCCAACTGATAATAATGTTTTTTCTGTAGTGGATTCTGGTTGGCGCCGTGGAGGGAATTTTCATGATCTCCAAAATCAACGATACCTCTGTGAGGCTTGAAATCGTGGGCCTGCCCAAGGGCTACGAAATGCAGTTTCAGACGGAGAAGGAGATGAAGTCCTTCATCTCCTACTTGGGCATCTATATAAGGTGAGTCCTAAACAAATCACTATCCCATTGCTTCTTATTAATTAATGAATATATAAATATTTAGTTACAACGAAACAAATCCGATTAACATTTGATCAGAATCTTTGTATTCGCAGAAATGTGTTTGATAACGCAAATGTTTTTTTTTTTAATAACATTAGTATGGCCCTTAATTCGTAGAATCGACAAATCAAGTCAGAATATAATCAAAATAATAATACATACTTTTGAGGTAAACAATTTTCAATAATTCCATTTAAGAACTATTAAACTGTAAAGTGTTTGAAAGTGTTTGTTGTTGTAAAAGCTGTTATCAGAAAGTAATATACGTTTTAGTTTACTGTCGAAGCAAAGCAGAAATAAACACAAAAGTTTCAATTTTTAAAGCTAAAGCTTTATGGTTTTATCAAGCTGAATGAGCATTTGAAATACTTGTTATCAGGCTCAACTCGTTTCCAAATTTATTTCTTTTAAGTGTTCATATTTTATTCCCATAGTTTTAAAATTGCTCATATCTATCGTTTCCCAATGGACATGAATTTAGTTTTCATAAGTTAATTCATTTAGGATTCATGTTGAACCTTGGTATATATAATATATAGTTATGTTTTTGATATCGTTTAATTCTATGATTCTTCATATGGCTAGTAAAATTAAAAAGCATTCATTGCGTCAATGATCGGATCATATAACATATTATTAATAGAGTCGATTGTGTATAAGTTTATTTTTAGAATGATTTGAATCGTAAAGTTACATTTTTATTAAGATTTCTAAAAAGGAAAATTTTAAGATGTATTTGGAAATTAATAAAGATTTATGTTTTACTTTAGTAATTTCTTAAAAGCGCTCCTAGTTTAAAAACTTATAAAGTCCTTTATTAAGTTCTTTCCCCGTTTCTCTGCAGATTGTCTAGCAAATGGATGCAGGACCTGTGCCACTCTTACCGCACGCCCTCGCTGGAAGAGCTCAGCTCCCTCTACTGCCATGGACCAATAGGCGGTGCCTATTCGCTGATGAAGCTGCACGAAAACGGGGATAAGTGTGGCAGTTACATTGTTCGAGAATGCGACCGGGAATATAACATATACTACATCGACATCAACACCAAAATGTGAGTGCTGCTATGTCCCACACGCCCTCATATTATCAGATACACTTCATGGCTGTTATCAGTCCTAGAAATTGTGCTATACGAGTATACTATGAATGATAACCCTTGTTCCGGCTTTACTTGCATTTTTCAACTTTTCTTCTACAGAATGGCCAAAAACACCGATCAGGAGCGCTGCAAGACGGAGACATTTAGGATCGTGCGCAAGGATTCGCAGTGGAAGCTAAGCTACAACAACACAGAGCACGTGCTAAACTCGCTGCATGAGGTGGCGCACTTCATCCAAGCGGATAGTCCGGATCGCTATCGTATACCCGCTTCTAAATACGACAAGCCACCGCTTTTACTCCTGCTGCTGCCAAAGAACCTCAAGGCCAAAAAGACTGACCTGCAACTCAGCGAGGCGGAGCTGCAGCGCCGCAATCCGCAGATTTTCAATCCCAAGACGGATCTGCAATGGTATCCAGGTAATATCTTTTTCCTATAGCTTTAGTCCTTCTTTGTATTGCAGTCCTTGTACTCTCTCAGATTCGATTTCGCTAAGCGATGATGGCATGATGTTTACGATGCGCGGCGATTGGATCCAACAGAGCCCCGTCAAGGATGTTTCCGTCACAATGAAGATGCTGAAAAGTGACGGAAATTTTATGGAGTTCTTTCGGCTAGCGCAGACCTGGAGCCTCATCCAATCACCGCAGTTCCTTAAGCTGTACGGTCTGACTCTTGCCGATCCGTATACGATGGTTATGGAGTATTCGCGCTACGGGCCGCTAAACAAGTTCCTGCACTCGATGCCCAATGTCACGCTGCACTGTCTCCTAGACCTGATGCACGGATTGGTGCGCGGCATGCACTATCTCGAGGATAACAAGATTATCCATAACTACATACGATGCAGCAATCTGTACGTGACCAAATACGATCCAAATTCGTACGTGCTTGACGTGAAGATTAGCGATCCCGGCTATCCACGTCCCTACCGGGAATCCGAGTGAGTAGTTCTCAATTCTGCTTAATTATGTAGTTTTAATGTTGAAAGAATGTACAATACAATAAGCCTTGGTCGTCATACTTTCATAACTTTTATCACCAGAACATAATATAGCGTTTCATACTGATAAAGTAATTGCATTTAAAATAATACAAATGACAAGCTTTCAATGTATTAATGATAATGTTATTGAAAGGCCTCGTTCTTACGATTTTAAGTCTTGTAACATGTAATCATTATTTAATATATACATCTCTTTCAAATCATTCATGCTTAAGAAATATCTTTTAGCAAAAATAATAAAATATAAGAGTTGGCATTATAATACCTCTAAAATACATAGCACCTATATTGTAATGTATTCCAGCTGAATGAGCAAGACTACGAAAGTTTAAATATAAACTAAACTTATTGCTTCTTTTTCCAGCTCGCCGTGGATACCCACCAAGTATTATCGCAATCTACAGGCGGCCAAGCAAGATCAGTACACCCAGCTATGGGCTTTCGCAACCACCATATACGAGATATTCTCGCGGTGCAAGGACGATCTACGGAGACTGCGACAGGAACAGCTGCTCAGGCAGAGGAATCTCGATGGTAACATACTCAAGACGCTCGATCCGGATCTGTGCCCAACACTGATGTTCGAGACAATCATGGACGGTTGGTCTGATGATGAGGAGAAGCGGTTCAGTCACCACGACATCTTCTCTCGTCTCAACACGATCAAGGCGGAAATACTTCCTAATTACATGCCACCACCTGAGTTAGCAACGAGTGAGTTATCATTCCGAAAATTGCAAGAGATTACCATAGAGTTGGTGCCTCAAGTGATCGATTATGTATTTTCCTTTGAAATAACCCATTAAAACTCACCATCTAAATGTCTTTCTGCAGATGGAACTGGCGATGAGGAGGTTGTTGAGATAAGCGACAAACCGTGTAACTATCCCTTCCCCCGGTCAAACATGCTGATGGTAATACCGCTGACCAGCGAATGCCGAGTGATCTACAACATGGCGAACATGATTGGTCAGGGTCACTATGGCACCGTCTACAAAGGCCATTTGGAATTCAACGACAAGGACCAGCCGCGGGAACAGGTGGCCATAAAGATGCTAAACACTATGCAGGTGTCGACGGACTTCCATCGTGAGATCGGCATTATGCGCACCCTGGATCACCCAAACATTGTAAAGTTTAAGCACTGGGCGGAGAAGTCACACTGCATCATTATGGAATACTTGTCCGGTTCCTTCGATAACTACCTGCGTTTTGAGGCGCCCAATCTCAAAGATCGACGTCTCGTCGGCTTCGCTTTGGACATAGCGAATGTGAGTAGTTTCGGGATTGAGTATGCTTTTAAGATCTATTCTATAATCAGTCTTGTGTCATTGGTTATTGTTTAATTATTACAATCATATTTTATTCCCATTCTTTTCTCCCCGCAGGGCATGAAATACTTGTCTGGCATGGGACTCATCCATAGGGACTTGGCCGCCCGCAACATTTTGGTGGATCACAACGGCGATGGCGATTGCGTCAAAATCTCAGACTTTGGCTTGGCGCAATTCGTAAATTCCGATGGATATTACTATGCGAAAAGCAAGAGAGATATTCCCATTAAATGGTAGGGATAATCAGTAAATCTTAATTATTTTCCCAATTTAAGACTTCCCTTTTATTGACATCGATAAGGTATTCCCCGGAGGCTATCTCCACCTGCAGATTCTCACACAACTCGGATGTTTGGAGCTATGGGGTGACGCTCTTCGAGATGTTCTCCCGAGGCGAAGTGCCCAATCTAGTGCCCATGCAGACCTCACAGGAAGACTTCCTCAATCGCCTGGAAAACGGTGAACGGTGAGTTGGCCTATGATTAGCATGCAGAGGTTATCACTAGGGTTAGGCAAAAGTTGAGCTTATACTTTATAATCTGTCATTAATTTGTCACATGAACTACGCCCATGTAAGATTTATGTTTCAATAGAAATTATTTTGAACGTGTCTCTATAAATTCATAGAGATAAGCGTTTAAATTAAAGTAAATTGAATAGCTACGAGAACTTAAATGTATCCCTATTTAAATCTTAGAGGAATTCCTAAACTTGTGTATGACTTGTAAGAATCCGCGATCTTTTATTTGATTATTTATTTATATAAAGCTCACTTTGAGATTAGAAAGCTGAAAGCTAGCTTGTGACTAAGAGCTTAATCTAGGGCCTTAAGCTCGCTCGTCTAGGGTGGGGATTAAGTTACCTTATGGTTAGCAAATTTCTCATATGTATGTGTCGTAGGGCTTGCAATTGGTTTTGTGTTATCTAAAAGTAATGGGACAGTTCTGTGACAGAAAAACGGTTGATTTTCTATGATTATCTAAGCGTAATGTCAGAATAGACATGTTTTGGGGATTGATCTGTAATGGTGAGAGGTTCAACTAGAAAGAGGTGCCTGTTAAATCTGTTATTATATAAGCTTAATATATATCTTTAACGTTGTTGATTTTTGATTAAAAAGGGGTATTTTTTCAACTTAATTGTAGCCTAAATCGTCCGGAGAAGTGCCCAGACTTTATATACGACCTGATGAAGATGTGCTGGCACCCCACTCCCCGGTCACGCCCCAGTTTCGCCAGCATCGTGGATATCATCACAATGGAAGTAGCCACCAAGGTTTCGCAACCGACGGATGGCCACCAGTCGCCGCAGAACCCACTACCGGAGACCGAGTGACAGGAGACAAGAGTTTCAAAAACCACAGAATGATATATACATATTTAGGCATACGATTTTTTAAGCTGTTAGCATTTAAACTGTACGTTTTTAAAACAACACAAGCAAGCCCCAAAACCCCTTGACGCAACCCTCAGCTTAAAGCGCTTTCGGAAGAATCACAATACCCCAATATTAAGCCCAAAAAACACTCACGCCTTCGCAAGACTTTTCGGATTCTCGCCAGACCTTAGTTTTATTCTTGTGCTTACCACTGGTCCCTCCCCGTGTCCCCACCCACACTCTTGACTAAGCGGAAGCCCCGACTTTATCTATATATATATATAAACCAATTCTCAACCTACTTTGTGTTATACATTTTAGACCACTTTGTTAAATATTGTTAAGCCTGAGCTTCATTTTTTTTGTAATGCCCACGCATAAACACTAAAACTAAATATAAAGTGTAAATAATAATTAAACTAGTTAAGGGTTTGAACGAGAACGGCAACACACGGTAATTTACACGAGCTTTGGCGGACCGATCGAAAGTATCGGTGTCGCGGTTCGACTAAGGTTAATCTATAGTAAAAACATGTGCACATATAGTCCTAAGGTATGTCAATTAATGTTGATCAAATGCCATTTTAACCTACAATACTTCGAAACAGAAACGAATTATATATTTACAAGCTATACAAGCCACTTTATACAAGCCGGTATATGCACAACCACACCACACACGCAGGCACAATAACTTATTATTGCTGTTAACGAGAATGGATATTTCCAAAATAAATCAATTTTCTTACGTGTTTAAATGTGAACTTTTATTTAATGACTTTATTTAACGGGAGCGAAACGCGAGTACACTTGGCAGATCTTTAGTTTGCGATTATAAAGATATTTTTCCTATTTGATTTTTGATATTTGATAATTACATTGAAACAGCATACATATATTCCCATATAGGTGTTCTTCGAACTACATGTAGATATTTCATTTAAGACTTATAGATTCCGTATGTTTTCTTCTGATTTGCTTCAAATGCATACTAATAAAAGTCTGTGTTTATATATAGTATAAATTTTTTTGGAATATGGAACGATTTGAGATAAATATACCTTTATAATTTATTATTCCACACGACTATTTTGAAATAGTTAACTGGAACAAGGGTTCCGTTTTATACATTCATTTAAATATATATTTGATATATTATTTATTTGTCCATTATTATATACATACATATATTGTGTCAAGCTACACAAGCAAAATAGATTCCAATATTTTTATAGAGATATATGTATATGTTGATATTCATATTTCCTACTCTACTTCTTAATTATTTAGCGAAAATAGATAACAACAAATAGATTTAGTATTTGGAATACCTATGTGTTGATTTCAATAAATTGCATTTACTTTCAGACACGATTATAACAGCTTTTTGTGAAATTCAGATCTAATTCTTTATATTTACAGATGTTTACTTATCTTTACTTTCTATTCTAAGCTTTTAATTTTCAATATGATTTTCCTTTCATAACTCACTGTTTGCCAGTGCTTGTTATTCGTGTATCCTAAATATGCTAATCTTCAAACGATGGTTTTTGGACAATATTTTCAAGAACTTTGTCCATTGAAAGTAAATAAGAACTTACAAGTGTAACCTAAGTTCTCTAGTATCTAAATACAGTCTACACCTAAAATTAGTTAATCAATGTTTCCCCAGTTTGTGGTGCCCATTTACAACTCACTGCTTGTCAGCACTTTAATAAAAATCAAAAGTTTTAAATGTAAAATAAACTCCTTACGGCTAAATATGCTAATCTTGATTATATAGTTCATTAATTCTAAAGAATAGGCTGTCTCATTTTACAAGATACTGTGTACCAGTACTTGCCACGTAATGGAAAACTGAACTCTTAAATGGTAAATAAAAATCCTTACAAGTTAGATTTGTGTCAATTATAACTAGGTAGTATGTACCTTATCCTTTTAAGATCTTAGTTTTAATGGAATAGTCGCTAAAACTCGTGAGGTGGGTTTTATGTTCACCCTAGGTTTATCTACGATTTACCATATTAGACAGTGTTTTTCCAATGTGAAGTTTGACGAGTGCCATGCCCGTTGTACCAAACATTCATATATCCTAAAATCTAATCCATTTCGGAGCAGACTGATCTTAATCTGAATTTCTGAAAGACTAAGCCATTTTACAGTGTTTTTAGTTTATAGAGTCATCCAAGTGCTTGCTAGTAGCTCTTGGCGTTTTCCCCTATTAATTTTAGATAATCCCTATAGACTAAACATCTCCATTCGAATTTCTTGGCTAAGCTAGTATTAGAATTTTGGCGGGTGCTAGGAGCTCTCTGCGTTCTTCTTTTTCAACGTCTCCATGACTCCGGCAAAGTTTGCTGTCTTCTTTTTCGCCGACTTCGGTGTAGATGTTTGGCTGCGTACGCGCATTTGCGTGGGAGCCACCTCGTCGCTGAAATCGAAATCGTTGGCCTTTTGGGGTCTGAAATGTGGGTAGCCATAAGTCATATATCCTATTGTTTAAAAGTTTAGATAAGCTTACTCCTGCTCAATGGCATCGCTTGCCTGCTCCAATTCCTTGCTATTTCCTCCGGATCCAGCCTCCGGCGATGGCGGCCTGCGTCCCGGGAATTGCCACTGTAGTTCCGGTATATTGCCCGCCTCCAACATCAGATAGTAGCTCTCCAGCTCCTCGGCATTGGCTGAAAATTTGTCAGCCGTATTTGCTGCCGGCTCCACATCGGTGGCCATCTCGAACTTAATGTAATCACTGCCACCAGAATTTTATAGTAAAATCAATGGAAATCGATTTCTTGGTATGGTTTGTTCTTCGATAACTTTGTTATCGGTAACAGTGCTGCAAAACGGCGGAACTGGGCGGTTTATTTAAATGCAAATGAACCAAAATGGTTTTTCTATTTATAGGTTTTCTTTATGCACTTAAGTGCACACCCATACCCGGAATATTTCCGTTCCGCGCACAGAGACTTTTGTAGGCGGGTTCTTGATGCCATATGTTTGTTTTAAGAGAAAGCATCATTATACTTGTACATTAACTCGCTAAAATGTTCACTTTTTTAAGACAGAAATATTGGTACATCATAGTTTTAAGAAATTATTTTTTACTTAATAATAATCTAGGCTATATATTTTTAAAAGTTCTGCAGATGTAAGGAAATAAATTCAAAGAAAATATATTTGTCGTTATCTGGGTATTTAACATTAGATTAATATCAAATATCCTTTTTATACGAAAGTTTACGTTATTGTTATTTGTATAAACGAATTAAATATATTCATTTACACTTCCAATGTAAATAAAAAATCAGTAAAAATATAGATTTACTTGTCTTTTTAGGTAGCTGAAAATTGGTGAAACTAGACCACAGTGTTCAGCGAGTCCAGATAAGACCCCGACCTCATGAACGGAAAGCCATCGATTATTCATTTTATTTGTATTTATTTACTTTGTGATTACTAAATTCTTAGAACTTTATTCAAAATCATCCTCGCCCGTCGTGCTGCCATTTCTGCTGCTCCATCCGCTCCTGCTCACATATCATATATCTCAGTTGATCTGATCTGATCGTCTCCACAACCGAATTATGCCGGACACGGATATCCCTGTGGTGTTCCTTGCTCCTCCCGATCTCGTTGATCCTTCTCTTTGTGGCTGGCTGTTTAGCGTTCTTTTCTATAACTTACACGTACCATACATATACATAAGTATTATTATAATTATTATATTGTTGTTTGCTGTTTGCTTGCTTTGTATACTCGTATATAAAAAAGAATAATCGTACATATTTAATTTAATTAATTAAAAACACAATTTGATTGCAAAAAGAAAGGTTTCTACAATACGTAATTAAATACGGATACGTCCTGATCGTTGGTATTGTTGCCACCGCCGCCGCCTCCACCTCCTCCGCGATTGGAGGACCCGGAGGATTTATTGGAGCCATGGGCGGCGATGGTCAGCTGGTTGGCCTGATGGATCACCGAGGTGATGTCGCTCTGCGACGCCGAGATATCCTTGCTGGTGAGCACATCGCTGCTACTCGATCCCGAAGAGATGTGTCGCTCGGCGATGCCGTACTGGATCGGCTGATAGCCGTGACTTGGATTGTACGTGGCCGAGTATGGCATGTATATGGGCGGGTTCGGGAGTGGCCCGATATCGCTGGTGATGCTCTCGGTGTCCGCATGGCTTAGCGCATGGCCGCCATGCCCATGCGGCAACTGGTGCGGATGCAGATGGCCCTGGCCTCGGCCCAATAAATTGGGATTGCGCTCTTCGTTTACCACGTAGTAGCACTGCTCCGAAAAGGTCAGCTTGTTGACCGTGTGCTTGATGTAGTTGCTCCGCAGCATGGCCGAAACGATCCTTCGCGCCTCCCGCCTGTCCTGCACATCTTCTACATTTTCCAGCACCCAGTTGACCGCATCGGCACCAATAAACGCGTTCGGGATCGTAATCTTTAGCCACATGCGATCCCTTATCTCGAGACCGCTGTCCGGCTTCGTCATAGCCTTGACTATCTCCTCGAGGTTGTTCTGGTCCAGTCGTTCCTTAATCGGTTCTGCAATGTCGGCAATAATACTGTCGTGCGATGTGAGAGCCTGAGTGTGCGCCACCCAGGCGCCTGGATCAATGGGTCGAACCGGCTCCGTGCGCGGTATGGTGAAGTAGCCCTTCGGATTTGGATCCCAGCACTTGGCCACCACCAACTTGATAGGTCCGGGTTTCTGCACCACTTCTCTCAGCACTCTCACTGCCTCGTCGTTGGTCATGTTCTCGAAGTTGACATCGTTCACCTGAAGGATCATGTCGCCCGGTTCTATGCGTCCATCCAAAGCAACAGCTCCTCCCTTCATGATGCTGCCCACGTAGATGCCGCCATCGCCGCCGCGATTTGACTGCCCGACGATTGAGATGCCCAGAAAGTTGACAGCCTCCATATTAATGGAGACAGTGATTATGTTCAGGGACATGGTCGAGTCGGTTATGGAGCTGTACGAGGAGGTGCGGGACATGCTTGGCGCCCGTTTTTTGCGTCTCTGCGGCTTCTTGCGCACCTGCAATCGCTGGACACTGCTGTAATCGGTCATGTCGCGGTCGAGGGTCAACTCGGATTCGGTGCCAAAGAGACTGGTGGAATCCAGATCGCTGGAAAGCACGGATGCCGACTGATATGTGAGCGGTGGTGGCTGCAAGAGCGGATTGCCCATCATCTTCTGATGGTGTAGGACCTGCTGTTGTTGCTGCTGCGCCAGCTGGACAGGCTGCACCTGCTGCTGTTGCTGTTGGACTTGCTGCTGCTGCTGTTGCTGCTGGAGCTTCCTGTTGGTCAGCCCAAGACCCAGTTCGCACTCACTGGTGGGCAGCTCGGAGCAGTTGTCTGACTGATTGGTGCCGTCGGCGGAAACCAGCCAAGACACTACCCGCCCATTGAAGCAGGGTAAAATGGTGGAGTCATCCGCAATCTCCTCCTTGACCACGCCGAAATCCGCGTCCATCGACTTAAAGAAGTACTTGTAATTGTTGTTCTGCTTATTTAGCACCAGCTTGAAGTCGCGCAGCGTCACCTGGGCGGATGGAATGGGGATCTTCACCAGATACGGCGTCGTCTCATCGTCGATGTGGTATATCACCTTCGTCTCCTGCCCGCCGCCCCTATCCGCATCCATTTTTCCTTCTCCGACTGGACGACGACGCGAAACACTCGGAAAAACACGTCCAAAAACACGGAAAATACACAGGAAAACTCAGGGAAAACCCTTTACAAAAATCACTCGATTTTGCTTTTCTCCCCTGTCTTTCTTGCCCTCTCGCTCTCGCACGCGTTTCTTTTCTTTTTCTTTCCCTTTTTTTGGGCTGGGTGTTCGGCTCAATGAAAATAGCGAGTGCGAATGCTTTTTAACTGGCGAAGCAATTGCTTCATTAGCTTAATTTCTAGCGCGTCAATATCATTTCGCGATTATATGCATTCGCTTTGCTTTGCGTTCTGTTCCTTTACTTCTTTATTTTATCCGTCTGCTTTTCGCACACAACCAATAAAAATACCAAATACTAATAATAATACCAAAATCGGTGTACAAAGGTCCCACTCCGTTCTCATCGTTATCGGTATGGGCGTTTTTCCGAAAAAAGAAAATCCTCTTCAAATCCAGTTTGGCCACACTTTGAACTCAAATAACACCGTTATCGATAAATCAGATTAGATTCAAACTACATCCCCAATACAAAAAAAAACTGCCCTTACCTTAAGCCATTAAACCGCATATTTTGAAATCTCAAAATTATACAATTTTTTCAATATATAAATGTTAGTATTGGTTTTCAATGAAATTATTATTATTTCGTAAATTAAACCGATTTCTTAATATTATTAATATAAGGAAATCGAAACCATAAAAGCATTTTTACAAACATAAATACAAATACATTTGTGTTCTAAAGTACGATTAAAAATGAAATAAAAGGAAAACTTATTGGTTTACTTAAGGAATTAACCAATTGCAACTGGTAAAATATTAACTTTAGTTCGTATTTTTTTTTTAAATTGAATTTAAATTTTTTACTGTACTTGATTTATAATAGATTGAAAAAATACAAAATACACACATTAGAACATTTATAGATGATTTCTAGCACGATACCATTAGCTTGAGCTCCCATTCCACTCCGTTTTATTTAATGTTCTAGGCTTTCCAGATAACCCCGCATGCTATTAATCGCTCGCCTCGTTTCGAAGCAAAGGCACTTCTTATTTAAATCAGTTTTCTCTTTTATTTGTATTCTTGAAAGGGGATTTCAATTAAATATACACTCGACTTAAAAGCTATTCCTCAAGTTTAGCGTAAACACACATGTGTACGCCCTGGTTTACATATATAAATGAACTACGATTTACATAATTGCCGTTTAAAAAAGTTTTCGATCTGTTATTCTTTAAGGGGGAAGTCTTTTGGGGCGCCAACGCCTTTTTAGACATTAAAATTAAAATCAGAATTGTTACCTCAGCCAAACGTCTCACTTTCATATAATTCTGCGACATAATCAGTTTAAATGTTTAGTATATAGTACATAGATACACCTCCCGTCTGTATTTATGCATGTCCGTATGCTGTTTACGATATACGATATATATATATAATTACGCTAGACTAACTATTACAACTAAGTTAATGGTTTTACAAAAAAAAAACGTTTATAGTATCGGTTTGCTACTGCATAAAACAAATTATCGAGTGTCCGTTTTTGTGTGGGGTGCGTGAATTATTTTTTACAATGTGATACGTGTTCCTAGTGGGTCCAAGATCTGATCTACATCTCACTTGGTATTGACCGTCTCCACCAGGATACTGCTGAGCGAAAGACGGTCGACAATGTCCAGCAGGATCTCCACATCCTTGATAGTGGTCACCGTTTCGGGGGCGCCTATTAGATTCACATGCTTGCCATCGATGTTTGCATAAAAACACTTGTTCTTAAAGATAATGGCCCGGTCATAGGGCACTCGGGACTTATTTCTGTCCATTACGACACGGCGGAAGAGCACGCATGACGGCTGGTACTTGTGCCGGTCCTCCTCGGGTATGTTATACGCCTTGAGATCGCCCGTATAGATAGTCATTGTCTGGCGGGTCATAAGCGAAGGCGACACTTTGTATAGGGTCACCTTGGTGGTCCATTTGCCTGAAGGCAACCTTATCCTGGATGCGACATTAGCCAGCTTGACCAGCGCCAGCTCCAGGCAGGTGCGCTGATGGCGTGTCGCCTTATTAGGTGACTCCTTGGACGTGTTGATCACGTGCCAATTTTCGTAGCAGGTGATCTTTTTTACCACGCGCCCATCCTCCTCGCAAAAAGTGGTGGTCTCGGGCGGAAAGTATTGGGGATTGCTGGTATCCTCTGATCCTCCACTAACCGCTGGTGACACCTTTTGCGCTATCTCTTCCTTGTCGCGCTGCTCCTGTTGAAGATGCTGGTTTTCTTTACTCCTGCTTTGCGGACTCAAGCTTGGCTTCTTGAAGACCGGCTGATCATCGACATCCCCCAACAGTTTGGTCAACTTTCTGTCCGCACGAGCATTTACGGTAGAAGCCGTCGTGGACAGCACATTTCGCCGCTTGTTGTTCCACTTGTTGATTGCTGTTGTTGGCCCTCCTCCTGCAGCAGAAGCTGCTGGGGTCGCTGTCTGTTTCGGATTCTTTCGGGTCACAATCGATGCCGGTATCTCATCGTCATCAAAGTCCAGATCTGGGTCCGGGTCGTCCTCTTCGGTGTCTACATCCGTGGGACACAACTCCTTGCCCATGCTCATTAGTGGCTTCATTGATTGCGTCTTCTTGCCCATTTCCGAATTTAGTATCCTCGGCCTGGGCTTGGGTTGGGTTTGGATTTGACTTTGACATTGGATATGCACGGGTCCCAATTTGGTGTTTACACTGCTGTTGCTGGCCAGGATCTTGATGCGTTTGGCCTGATTAGCTATGCTGTTACTTGAAGCAGTGTGAATGGTTTTCTCCGAGTTGACAGTGATGGATTTCTTCTCACCAGCCCCCGAATTGCTAGAGGGGATATTTCTAGTACGGGGCCTGCCCACAGCAAGCTTTTTGCTGGGATAACCACCTGATGAACCGGCAACAGCACTGTGTGATCTGGTAATGAGCACATCGTCCTGATTAATAATGTCATCGATGTTGACAATAGTAAATGTGGGAACATCGTCGGTCTCAGACTCATTTTTCGCATCGTTATTAGAGGCTCTTTCGATTGTCGGGCGCGTTATAGGAGTGGAGTTTACCGCATTAGAGTTTGAGTTCACCTTGTAACTACTGCCCGGCCGCTGTGGTAGCATCCTGGCTGAACCACTTCCCGCCTGACCCACCTTGGGTCTCGCACTAAGCGTGCTCGATTTGGTGGTGGCGCCATTCACTACGGGAACGCCGCGCTGCTGGGTGCCACTGGTCGAGGAAATTACCATACGCTTGCGAGCCACAGGACTCTCGCTGTCGCTGGCCTCCAGTTTGCGTTTAGCGGTGGCTGACCCGGAACCCGATCCCTCGGTCATGCTGGCATTGCTTCTGGCCATATTTACGGCCATGGTGCGACGTAACTGCTGCAAACTGCTGGGTGCATTGCGCCCACCGGCCGAATTTATTGCTATTTTCGCGGTTGACCCACTGGAAGTCAGGTTTCCCGCGCTGTGCATGCCGACATTTGCATTATTAATCTTCGGGGGACGTCCACGTCCACGCTTAACAGGCGGTAGCTTGCGACGCAGCTCCTGTTCGTACTCTGCCTCGCTCATGTCCTCATCCTCATCATCGTCGTCATCTTCGTCAGACTTGTGCAATTGCGGATTGAACGCGGCGTCGGCTAACTCATCATCATCGTCCTCGTCCAAATCCAGTAGATCGCTGATGTCGTCGTTGTCTTCAAACAGCTTGACCTGCCTGCCATGACGTCCAGTCATTGACTGCCCACTGCCTTCGCCCAATGTGGCCATGTACTTTGGCGTGACTATATCATCGCTAGCGTATTTGGGATTCGGCTTGATAGAGCGCCTGGATCGACTAGCCGCTATGGTTGGCGGTGGACTCACGGATACATGTTTGTTCGTCGACTGCTTGTACATCTTCGGCGACTCCGCTGGAGTGGAGCGCCGTGGCTGTGCCTTGAGCAGACCCAGCTTGTGGTGACTGCCGCCTTGGGGTTGCCCACCACCCATCAGCAGGGTATTGCGTCGCTTGGCCAGATTGGTGGATTGCTCCTTAGTCGCCTCCCTAACGATTTTGGGACGTGCCGGTGGCGATGGCGATGCCGTTGGCTTCACGGCGTGCCTAGAACGCGGTGTGGGCTTTTCCTGAACCACAGAGCGACGACTTGTGCGGGTCTCTCGCAGCTCCTGCTGCGAATCCCGCTGGTGATCTCTCTTCCTCAGTCTGCCGCCTGGCGTTGCTCCTCGCGAACGCGAAACCTCCTCGTGCAGATTTTTCACGTAGACGATGCAAGGACGTGTTTTTATGCTTTCTGCTTCCTGTTTTTTTCCAGCTCGCATCTTTCATGGGTAGCTAAAGACGGAGCCAAAGACAAAACAGATATGTAGTTAAATTATCGTGACCATAAAGGAATAGGTACAGTGGGCCATGGGCCAAGGAAATCCAAGGCCTATATACACTTTATTCTTATTTTATTTTATCTTCTAGTGATAATCTTTCTCTAACATTGAAAGATGTATAGAGATGCTTGATTTTCAAGCAAATATATATATATATGTAATAAATAAAAAAAGTCATTTGCGCATTTTTCTTTTTTCTTTAATCGAATCCACTAAAATTACTTGCAGTGTAAATTACACAATTTGAACATTTTAATGTCCCTTTTTGGACACGTCTGTTTATGAAGAATTATGAACTGTGTGTATGCCACTGCCATTATTGTTGATGCCAAGCGAACTGTGTTATGTGCATAGGAAAATCCCCGGCTTGCCAACCACAACACATTGCACATAGGCAGATCCTACTGTTTTTAATAGATATGTATGTAACGTGCCGATGCTCTGGCAACTCTGGCGCCTATTTTCGTCACTTTTTCGCGCGCCAGCCGCTGCACATACACACGCGCAATCACATATGGAGCGAAAAGAAATTCGCTGAAAAAATTGATCGCTCAAACTCGCCAGCTTACCTTTGTAAATCACTTTACATTTTCTCAGGCGTTTGTTTTTGCCTTTAAACAGTCTTTTTGCTGGCACTTTCACAACGCCGCGCTCTCTTTTCTTTTTTGTTCTCTCGCTGCAACGCTGGCTCTCCGGCGATGACGGCCACACTTAATTGGCAACTGACTTTGGAGTGTCGAGTTGTAATGGTTGAAGGTTCTTTTTGTAGGCAAGGCAAAGAAAGGCGCAAAATTAAAACTCGCAAAGATGCACCACAACAACCGAACTGAACTGCAGTAGCGGAGCAGCAAAGCAAAAGTGGTGGCAATAATGGCCAACCCAGGTGGCAACCCGCGATGGCGATGTTTTTCTACCCAACTGTACCACACACACACATGCACGACGGCCCTGTGTGTTGTTGCTTTTCGATGGCGCTTTTTGGGGTTTTGGGTTTTGAATTCCACTTAATTGCATGCACTAATCGCTTGGCCCAGCTTAATCAATAGCCGTTATTTGTGCGCACTGAATAGAAGTTGCCGTTTAACACGATTATCACGAATCCGCTTCCCGCGCTCGAAATTGCTCACTCTTGTTAAAAACTGGAACTGGAAAGAGGGGTGGAGAAGGGGGAGGATTAGTGCTGGAAACCGTCGATTGGCTAGTGTTGAGAAACGTGTAAATCTGACGAATGGTCACATTGACTTCTAACCCAATGATTTTGAACTCCCTTTTTTTATTGGTTTATATTTAATATTAACATTTTGGTTTTATTACAATCGTTTTACTTGAGCGCCGAGGGCTGCGGGCAGCGGTACTTAGCCATCTCCACCTCCGCTTCTGCGTAGCTGAAGCGATTGAAGCTGTAGTATTCGGGCACTTTGTAGCCACCAGTGGCGGAGGCACCGGGTCCCACGGGTCCAGTGGTGGGCTTGACGCAGTTGCTGGTCAATCCCGTAACGGCTGGCGAAGATGGGCCTCCCGACTGGGAGGATGCGGATCCAGATCCTGCGGCGCTGGATCTACCTCCACTAGAGACTGGTCCTCCTTTGATCTGGCTGTAGCATCGGCTCAGGGCCGGGCGCAGGGCACGCGTGGGCGAAAACATGATGTCTTTTATGTGGCTCGGCAAGCGTTTAATTCGCAAAAATAATTCACGTAATCACTATCAACAAAAGGTCGTACAGTATCTGGCAAGGCTGCCTATATCAGAAAGTAGCCACACTTTCATAAAATAAAATACTTTTTAAAAGGGTCACTTTTTTTGTAACATATTTTTAAATATATACAAATAAGTCATGCATCTTCTACAAGTTTCTAGATACAAAAAAGTTTGAAATAATTATTTTTCTTGCTAGGGTACACCATGTTGTAATAAATTCAAATGGCTGCTAAGACTTTGGGTATCTGGCAAGGTAAAGTACAACTTTATGCAGCTATGCAAAAGTAAATACAAATATTTATAAATATATTTTAACTATAGAAGATATAAAGACTGAATTTAATAAAGCCTACTGCAAAAGCAAAGCTTAATCTGATGCTGTTTAAAACGCTGAAAGTGGGGAAATTCCTTTGTTATTTCTAAACTAAATTGGGTTTATTAATTATATTTAGACTATATTACATCTATTTTCTTGTCTTGAATTTGGGTTGCGCTTTGCCGTAGTGCTGATCGATCTGGGAAACGGGTGCTCGTTTCTTGTCATTGCGCTGCTTTTGCGATTTACTGCGACATTTGACACTGGCGGCCCCCGTTTGATTTTTTCCCAACTGATGAAACTTCTTTCGCTCCTCGCGAATGTTGTTCAGCCGCTGGCGTTCGTCCTTCAGATCCTTGTAGTTTTTCGCCTGTTTCCTTAAAGGCTTAGCGCCCAGCTTGACCAGCTGAAACATTTCCATTTTGGTCTTGTTTTTGATGACCCGCTGGTTTTTCATCGCGAAATTGAGGATCTCATGTCGCGCTTTCTTAATATCAAACTCAGGATTCAGCTCATTACCGGCTTCCTTGGTCCGCTTTGTTTTCTGGAATCCTTCCTCCTGCCTTTTGGCTCCACTTTTCGAAGTGCCCTGCGGTTCGTGAAACACCATCGCCTGAAATTCGCTGTTTGCCTGCTTTTTCTGCATAGCCAGGGCTGCTCGCGTGGGCACCGGCTTAAAATCCTCGCTAACGTTCATTTTTCAGCAGTACTTCTCAATATTCGGCAAAATTGTAAATAAACTAGAATCAAAATATTCAAGTGCACATGTACAGTGCAAAAATGTACTAAATTTAACAGAACGCCTGGTCCCATTTGGCAGCGCTGTTTATCGCTAATGTGTGTTTCTTTGGAAGGTGGCGATGTGAAGGCATTTTTTACGTCACAACATTTTTTATTGACTTCCAAAAATATGTTCGTTAAAAATACATGTCCTAATCTCCGTCTTATTAATTTATAAAATTCCATTTGGAACAAAGCCAAAGTCAGTACATAAAATATATATTGTCATACCTAACTCATATAAAATTTTAAAATTATTTTATATATTTTAAATGCACTTTAAAATCTAACAGATCCTATATTAAGAATTGGTTATCATTGATTTTTGTCCTTTTCTTCATATTTCCCAATTGTTTATTATTGTTATATTATTTAATATTTTATATTGATTTATCAAAACACATTTTTAAATTAAAAATGTAAGTAAACTACACAATGTATTTCACTGAATAATGCTTCATTTGTTGCTGGCTGAATCAGAATTCGCTGACCAAAACTCCTCTGGCAGCCAGTACATTTCCCAAGCCATCGGATCCTCATCCTCGCCAGTCGAATACTTCTTCCAAGTGGACAGGTCGTCCCTCTCATTAAAGGGATTGGCATTAAAGGGTCCAGTAAAGCTTTGAACGCGGCTAACTGGCGGTGGAACGGGATATGTGTTATTTTCCTTTTTAGCCTGACAATACGCTTTCGTATCCTGATCCTCTAGAGGTTTCGGTTCGCTTGATATTTGAGGAATAATTTCCTTCTCTTCGTGGGATGATGATGAATCTGCCACATTCACTATATAGCTGATGGGATCCATTTGGACGTTAGTAAATTTTTGGCTAAGGGAGGAGCGACTTTTGCTTCGCGGCACCTGGGGATTTCCATCCCTTCGACGACGTTGCTCCCTGTTTTCCAGCTTCCCCTTTCCAATCGTCGCCAACCTGCCTCCATTTATAATGGTTTTCAAAGATATGTTCACCTGAGAGGACTTCTTAGACTGCGGAGAACGAATGAAGCCCATCTTCTTGGTGAGGGGCATCGTCAGGCGTTTGTCCGCGTAGTCATTGCGCGGATTAGCGAAAATTCCCGCCAAATATTTAAACATTTTTGATTTACTAACAATTTAAGATGCAGGCTGGTTTTACGTGCTATGGATATATGGTAATGTATCGTAACATATGTTTGACTTATGGCTCAAAGAAACATGATCCGATTCCGCTGGTCTGGTGAATGTATCGTCGTATATTAAAGTATTTAATAAATTATTCGGAACTTTTGAATATACGCGTTACTTACTATAAGTAGGGACGTAATCCATGGTAAGTATAGTTAGTGCAGTGTACAACCAATATATAGTCTCCAATCTCTTTTCAAATGCAATAATCTGGCAACGCTGCTTTGCCGGATCGAAAAAAAACAATGTGTTGGCAGAGAAGTAGAAGGAGCGTAAAAGTCAACAAAAAACCAAAAAACTAAACGTAAGCACAAGCGCAAAATGGCCAGGAACACGGGCAGTTCCTCGGGCTCCACGCCGGCATCGGCTGCGGCGGCGGCGGCCGCAGCGGCATCCAATGCCAAACAAAAACGCAGCCCCCGATTCAGTTTGTCCTCAAATATGATCCTGGACAAGTGGAAAACAATGATCGGATGTGTCTGTCTGGCGATAGCTTCGTATTTTGGCTACCTTGGCTATCTAGAGACCCGTGTAAATACGCCCTTTGACCACCAGAAGATGGTGGTGCACGCAGGGCTAGAGCAGCCGGACCGGTATTGGGGCTCATACAGGCCATTGAACTACTTTGGAATGAAGACGCGGGATCCCCATTCCCTAGTAATGGGCTTGATGTGGTACACCCCTAGTAATCTGGGTCCTGGTGGACAGGGCATCCGACACTGGTGCGAGCAAGGCGACAAGTTGGATTCCTACGGCTGGACACACCACGATGGCAGAAGTTTTGGCGTGCAGGAAATACAGGATCTGCCCTTTGAGCTGAAAACCTCGTTTGTGAAGTATCCGGAGGGCAAGCAGTATGGTGGAGATTGGACGGCCCGGATATCGGTGAGAAATACAACGCGCGCGTGGGACAAGAGCATCTCGCTGATTTGGTACGTGGCCTTAGATGAGCGCACCAATGGGCACATTAAATACGTTTCGGATGAAAAAAGCCCTGAACCGGGTGTCTACGGCGAAACCCAGGGACTCGGCGAGTTTCAGGTACGATTCCATGCCGTCAAAGGAAAAATCCTGCACAAATCGTACCTCAGCACAGTGGCTCCTTCGCTGAGCAAACTCAAGGATACGCTCTTCTCACATTTTCGCGCTTTTGCCGACAAGCGGGGCAATCGTTTCATAGGCTTACCCGGTGAAATAGTCTCCCAAAATGGCCTGCCCTCTAATAATCCGGAGCCCAACTTCATAGCTATACAAATCACAGCGGAGGTGGATTTTACACTGGACATCACCTACCAGTCAACATCTGGATTTTCTCTTGGCCAATCCATACCCAAGCCGCCCACGGGCAGAGCCTATCAAGATTCGTTGCAGGCCAAAATAGCCCAGTTTGAACAGCGTTTCGAGGAGCGATTCCAGCTGAAGAAGAAGGGCCACTCGCCGGAGGAGGTGAGATTCGCGCGAAACGCTTTTAGCAATACCTTGGGTGGCATTGGCTACTTCTATGGCTCAAGCCGAGTGCAATCGGTGCATACTAAAAACCCTGTACCCTACTGGAAGGCTCCGCTCTACACGGCTGTGCCGTCGAGAAGCTTCTTTCCCAGAGGTTTCCTTTGGGACGAGGGCTTCCACGGGTTGCTGATTAGCGCGTGGGATGTGGACATCGAGCTGGACATCATATGCCATTGGTTCGATCTGCTCAATGTTGAGGGCTGGATACCCAGGGAACAGATTTTGGGCGTTGAGGCGCTAGCCAAGGTGCCCGAAGAGTTTGTTACGCAGCGCAACAGCAATGCCAATCCGCCGACTTTCTTCCTTACGCTCAGAAAACTGCTCACCAGCCATCGGACAGAGTTGTCTCAAAACGGACGATTAGCGACCCTTGAGCGGCTGTATCCACGGGTTCAGGCCTGGTTTAACTGGTACAACACTACGCAGAAGGGTAGGATTCTAGACTCTCTTTCTGTCTTTGTCTATTTGGTGTTAAATACTTCCTCTTTCAGGTGAGCTGTTGGGCACCTACTTGTGGCGTGGTCGAAATGCTACTACCGTGCGGGAGCTGAACCCAAAGAGCTTGTCCTCTGGCCTGGACGACTATCCTCGAGCCTCACATCCCACCGACAAGGAGCGTCATCTGGACCTGCGCTGTTGGATTGCTCTGGCGGCCAGTGTGATGGCCGAGTTATCAACTTTGTTGGGAAAAGACGATGCCAAATACTACGAGACGGCCTCCTACTTAACGGACAATGAACAGATGAACCGCCTGCATTTGGCGCCCTACAGTGAACAGTACTCTGACTGGGGTCTGCACACGGACCAGGTTAAGCTAAAGCGGCCGCCGGCTATGGCACCGCAGCAGCAGCGGCATCAATATCAGCAGCATCAGCAGCCTGAAATGCGACGTGTCACCGGTGAGGAGCCAACTTATCAGTTCGTGGACAGCGCTTTTGGGTATGTCAGCCTGTTTCCTCTGCTGTTGGAGCAACTGGATCACGATTCGCCATATTTGACCAAGCTGCTTCACGATCTCCGTGATCCGGAACAGCTGTGGACTAACTACGGTCTGCGTTCGCTCTCGAAGCGATCACCTCTGTACATGAAACGCAACACGGAGCACGATCCACCGTATTGGCGTGGACCCATCTGGATAAATATTAATTATTTGGCTGCCAAGGCGCTGCATCATTATGGCAAGATAGAGGGGCCGAATGCGGCTTTGGCGCGGGAAATTTACGCTGAGCTGCGCGACAATTTGGTGGGCAACATCTTTCGGCAGTACAAGCGCAGTGGCTATTTGTGGGAGCAGTACGACGACACTACTGGTGAGGGCAAGGGCTGTAATCCCTTCACCGGCTGGACGGCCACCGTTGTCCTTCTGATGGCCGAGCAGTTCTAGATCTGGATCTAGCCTGCCCGCCCGTATAGCAAAAAATCTGCTGTGAGTTCCTCGACGAACATCCCTGCCCGGATTCCTAAACTGATCTATGTATATGTTTGTGTTTAGAATAGTTGGGTTTTCTTTGAACTAAGAATCGCATTAGGCTTTCAAAACAACGACTAAATCGGTCAACCAAATAAATTTGCTTCAAATGTAGCAAACTATTGATAATCTTCAAACGTCTTTGGCATTCAAAGATTTGATTAGAGTAAGTAAATAAGTTTTTATATAAGGGAACTTATCCTAGGATCTACAATCTTATGGTAATGTAACCTTTGGCTTTGCTGTGGTTTGAAATAGTCACTTAATTAGCACGCAAAGGTAATCAATTGCATGAGTACTGCTTTGCTTTTTAAGAAATGTCTCCGTAGCGATTCTACCTCAAAGAATATCCCTCTATCCCCATGTAGACTACTCTAAATGTATGTAGTCCTTAGAAATTCCAGTCTCCAGTTGCTGTACAATACTTAAGAAACTTTGACAAAGAAATCGAGTGAAATTGTGAAGGAAATGCAGTAATATTTAGCGTTAATTAGACGAATTTTAAAAATATACCAAATAAATAAAAGATTAAAACCAAATGTGTAAGTTTTTTGATTAAAAAGACTAAAACTATTTCCACGATTCATCACTGTTTTAGTATTGAAAAATAAAAACTAGTGCTAGGTTGTTTTTTAAGTATTTATTTCCGTTTTCTTTCGATAATTCCTGTCACTTGGAATACTCCGATATTACATCTATATTATACACGATTTCCTTAACTATATAGTACACACAATCGCACACACTTACAGTAATGCATACACTCACAGGCAGAAATATATTTCGTCTTTTCATCGTTATCTTTTTTTATGCATAAAAAAGGTACAAAAATGATATATGCACAATATACTTAATGCAAAACTAATTATATAATTTTTTAATGTGTCTAAAATTACACTAAAAAGGAAGAAAACAAATTGGTTAGGGTATTTCTCTTCTCAAAAAACGATATATAAAATATATTAAGGTAGAGCTTGTCTTTGTTCGGTGTTTGACTCAAGTGTAGGTCTGATTATTCTTACTTTAGGGCTAATTAAAACTTTTATACGGTCTACGTGTATTTTTTTAAAGCGAATACGCGTACAGATTTCAGTGAACTTTGGATGTGACTAACAAAAAAACAAAAAAAAAAAAAGTATAGGAAGCATTCAAGGGGGCTGGGAGACATTTACAAAGATTATTTTCGATACATATATGTAAGTATGATCTACAGAGATATATATGGCGCTGCCTATACATCATGAAGTACACGGAACAAAGTCTTTATATGGCTAAAACCAAAGTCAATCTGTTAATCTCTCTATACTCTATACAGAAATGGGATTAACGCGAGCGGACCTCGATCGGGATCACTCATCTTTCTTCTTAAAGCCCCTCCTAAAGGCCGGCAGGCGATCAAGCAAGGCCAGCAGAATGCTCCCCGGCAACCGCTGATGGCGATTGATCAGCTCCTCTATAGCTGTGGCCACCTAAGTCAAGTTAAAAGCAAAACAATTTATTTATTGTAACGCAAAATAATAAAAGCACAAAAACCAGAATAATGGCTCTCACCTTAATCTGAAGATCCTGCGGCGTTAAGTTTTCGTCATAAGGAATTGGCTTGCCCAGGAACGTTCGAAACTTTACGGGGAATCCGCCGTAGATTGGGTAGACCGGAATGCGCAGCTTGTTGTACAGCCGCATGAAGAACGTCCGGAAGATGCCTACCTGTCGGAAGCCCTCACGCAGATTCTGCGTAAAACACGGAATGATCGGGGCCTTCGCCTCGATGGCCACCTTGGCGAATCCCACTCGATTCCGCCACAGTAGCTCATAATAATGATCACCAAACTGCGCCTCATAGACGCCGCCCGGTGAAATGGCTAGTAGATTACCATCCCGTAGGATGCTAACGCATGATTGTACTGTACCGGGACTGACGTGAAATGCCTCCGAAATGGTTCCCCATCCGGGCAACTTAAACAGGAACCGATCACCAATCGTGTATATCAAACGCTCGCGCTGCAGCAGCATCCTTGAGTTCAGATAGTACATGTCGATGGGTATTGCACCGTGGTAGTAAACAATCAGCGCCGGACCCTCCTGGGGCACATTCTCTAGGCCGATCACCTCATAGCCATGGTAAATCCGGGCATGGGCATCCCAAATAGCTGCCACAATCTTCCGACCAACCCGCCAGAAGTTGCGATCACCTTGTACTGCTCGCATAATCACCTGCCTGAAATAAAGAAGTTAACTTTTTAATTAATATTGCAAAGATCTGTATATATGTGAATAATTATAAATTAGAAATGAATCTCTGTTTTAGATATAATTTAAAGGGAATAGATAATAAGTGATTGTGAATTTCTAGTAATTTACAGATTTCTTCAAAGAAACTTCATTGTTGGTAGCCCATATGATATATATTTCAAAATTATTGTTATATCTACCCCATTTAATTTGGTCTTATCATTAATCATTAATGAACAAATTGTAAAACAGTTTTAGGTACAAAAAGAAACGCTTTCTCTAAATTCCGGACTTGATATTAAGTTAAAATTAAAGTTTAAAAAGGTCATTTAGGTTGTGCTTGGCTTCCTAATTAATTGTCAACGACAACAAAAAGAAAACTGGCAGGCGCCCACTGATAATTATGTTTAAATTTAGTTGGCTGTCGGCAGGTGTTATCAGCATAAGATGGTCGTGTCTCTCCATATCAAAGAACTTATAAATCAATATGCACACACAAACAAAGTTCGCCTCACCTTGGCAAAACTGCGTTTAGTGGAGGGCTGATAACAGGGTTCATTCACAAATCTTTTGGCCCCTTGGCGACCAAAACAATGTCGGGCAGAAATGAAAATGAATCCATTTCATCCCCTACATATTCAACATGAAAATTATTCTGGAAGAATAAAATGCTATTTCAATGCATAATTGCATTACTAACAATCTATGGATCAAAACAAGATAACAAGAAAACTCTTAATAAGAGCTACATTTAAGTGATCTTAAATACATTTACTTTAGTAAACCTGAAACCTAAAAAAAATGATTACAGAACTCGAAGTTATAACAGATCCATTACTTTCTACTGTGATCTTCGATCATCAAGGTCGCCGTGCAATTTCGTAACTCTAAAAATTAAAAGATAATTATCATGCGATTAACACGGCAGTGCTACATTTTGAGTCCATAAAAAAAGAATATCGTTTATGCACCGTCAAGCTTTTATGTTACTATATAAAAAGAAAAGGTAAAAATATATATGGAGAATGTGAGGGATCAGGTTGCGGTAGTAATACAGTTAATTGCATTCGAAGCCCCCTCCCGATTCTTTTATGGATCTATAATTCCTGTGATTACGCGCGATTGCTTTATACAGCGGGGGGCTTTGGAGGCGGGGTCCCCAATGACCATGAACTGATAGGCATTAGTAGAGTGAAGCGTAGAACGCTATCGGAACAACAGTATAATGCCAGCCACAATATCGAACAGAAGGAATGTATCGTGGCGTGTTTTGGTTTGTGATTTGTTCAGTTCATTTCTTTTGCTTATCGAACTGTTTTCATTTCATTTTCTACTTCGAAGTATTGTACTTCAGTATTGATTGCGTATACGAATATATTACTAAATATTTGCACAATTTTTATAGTAATTTTTGCGAAAACTAAACATTTTACATTTCACACACATTAGATTTACATTTACATTTTTTTTCATTTGAATACAACCATTTTTTGACATTGCTGCTTATACACTGCACTAAATATAGAAATTATTGGATTTTTCCTCTAAACACAAAAAGAACAATTGTTTATTTGCTTATTATTTTTAATCAGATATATGCATACTCATTTTTTTTTATTATTCGGGAATTCGCTTTCATGCCTAGAATACAATTTTTGGGATATTTCACAGTCAAAATTTTATTTTCTGATTGGTAATGCAATCTTTTTATATAAGATCTTTGATGGGGGTTTCTAGTTAAAAAACAATCGCGCAATTAGGTATAATCTTGTTTAAGCTTTGTATTAGCACTCGATAATGACATTGTAAAAACATTTAAGTTGGTAGCCAGACAATGAAGTCTAAAATATTTATTGACCTCTTTCACTGTGGAAAAATGGCATGCAATCATTATCAATGAAATTTTAAAAAAATGCAACAATTTAACATTTTCATTAGTTTTTTTGCATATTTTAAGTAATAAAATCATAATATGCAACAATATTTCTCTGACTGCAATATGTAAACTGCAGAAATCGTACCCATTACATGTAGTTAAAGCCATTAGGGCTAGTGGCGGTTAGAGCTAAAAAGCTTTTCAGTTAATTTGCATGGCCAACCGGTTGGGCATTAGAGAGTTAGAAACAGAAAATAAATAAAAGCGCACAAACACATAAACGCCGGTAAATATATTTTAAAATATGTATACATATATAGAGTAAAAGTTGGCAGCGGTGATCACCTGCTAAACAGCTTTTCAGTATTGGTGCAATGGTCAAGAGTGTAATGTTCTTTAAGGGTCAGTGTTATTAGTGTCAGCCAACTTGGTTGTTTTTCCGTTAGTTTTGCTTTTTATATTTAGATCTATCTGTTGTTCTTGAATGTAATTTTAATAAGGAATATAGAGTATTTCATTTAGTTGAAGGAATATACAATTGTTATTTAAAAATTTATTAAGAAAGATTTCTAATTAATGTTTTGAAGTTTTAAAACTTTGAAAAGTTTACGTTTACTTTCACTATAAACAGAGTAATTTATTAACGTATTAATAAATTATCATAAATATGTATTAACAGCGTGTGTTGGGTTTGTCGAGCATTTTTTATATTAAAATAAAATATTGCTGAACATGCGATAAATTTTAAAAATTTTGATGATTTTACAAGAAACCAAATATTATATGAAAAAATTTCTATTTAAAACACTTTCAGTAAGCTCGCGGACTTTTTTTTTTAAATTCCAAATTTTGATCATAATAAAACCAGCTACATTTTTTTGTTTTCTGCATCTAGCTTTTTGCTTGGCAGCACTGTTGAGCCCGATCTCTCTCCCTCTCTCGATGGCCTTTTTTGTGCCCTTTTAATTACAGCTGGAAAGCGGGACAAAAGACACCGGTAAAGAGATGGGTGAGCAAGACAGGTAAAGGTGGGTGGGTTTTTGTGTTTGGATCCGCGGGAGAGTGGAGAAGGCTCATTGGCCAAAAAGTGCACGATCAGCATGAGAGAGTTCATTAACAGTTAAAAAGGAGCCCAAGAACTTTGCGCACTGTTATTGTAATTACCATTGTTTTTTTACGAATCAACAATGTTGCATTTTGTCTGCGTTCTTTTTGCTTACCTGTGCAACTTGTAGATAAAAAGCACCAGAAACGAAATGTAAATGAGGGCCACGAAGACCAGAGGCAGTAGAAAGGTGACAATTAGCGGGGTCAAAAAACGATATAGCCATAGTGAGTAATCCAGATCGATGTAGGAGGCTAAAAGAACAAGATAAGAACCAGTTGCCGAATGATAAATCTCAATAATTTTTCGATTATTATTGTTATTATCAGGTCCTAATTGATATTACTCACACAGAAGGCTCTGCAGCGTTTTGTTCAGGTTCTCTAGGAATTCCATTTCAAGTGCTGTGTTTCATTTGTTATTCTTGCGCAAAAAAGAAAACCAACTGAAGCCACACCACAAAAAAAAAGAAAAAACAAATCGGTTTGGCCTGATTTTTTACTTTCTTTGCCTCTCTTTTGAGCTTTTTAAATTCTTTTGTTTCTTCCTGCTATTTTAAATGGTCATCGTATCGTGGTTTAAATTTAAATCATTTATTTGCGCCGTTTTACATGCATTTTATTTGCATGTTTCATTGTTGTTGTTATTCGATACTGTTGTCGTTCGTTCTATCAGAATGTAAACAATAACACTCCGGTCCGCTCACTCGCAGAAAAGACAACCGCCGCCGTTCGCTGTCAGAAACTTTGTGAGCGCGGCGCGCTTAATGGTTAATAATACTACAAAGTAGCGTTTCTTTTATTGTTGTTTCTTCATTTAATTTCGATTGCGATTCTGTTGCTCTTTTTTCTTTCTCACTTCCATGGCACCTGGCAACGCTGGACCAGCTGTTCTAACCGCGGGTGCTGCCAGAGTTTGGTTTGAAGCAGGTAGAACAAATAGTGGTGCTGTGTTAACTGTTTCTAGCCATTTAAGGTCTAAATTGTATATATATATAGTTTTTTTAATTTTAGCAGAATTATACATTTATTGGTTAAGACATAAACAACGTGGCTTTGGTATTATTTGTGTTGATATACAACATGTATAAATTGTAAGTAGTCTAAGTGGATGAAGACGTGCGTGCATAAAAAAATTTCAAGTGAAAAATCGATAGTTGCCGGGTGCCAAATTCTGTTCATATCGATAGTATCGAATATTTGCTAAATTTATTGCCAGCTCTAACAGTGCGGTTACACTAATCGACGTTAAATCGGGAGTCGCAGTGCAATCGCATGCAATTTGTTTTGTTATTAATTTTCAAAATAATCTCGGGCTTGGTGCTGCTGCCAATTGTGATCCACTACATCTATTACATAATAAATGCGATTGCCGGCGATTTGTGCGAGCAAAAGAGAGCGCAAAGAGAGCAGCAGCTGCAAAAGAGCCCCACTCCGCGCCAGCAACACCACCCCCCGCCGTCGCCCACCGAAGAAGAGCTTGGGGTTTTCATAAACAATTTGACAAATTCTTGTCGTTCTTCACCAACAACAATGCAAACAAACGATGACGCCAAGTTTATTAAAAAGTGCGTATGTATGAAGCTAAATCGCGTTTGTGTGCGTGTGCGTATTTGTTTATTTTCATGTGTGGGTGTACAAGTGGCAGAAGAACAAAAGATATAGCAAATACACTCGTCATACGTCAGAAAGAGAGCCAAAATCACCTTGCGCTCTTTATTGATTTTCCACTTTGCGTTCACGTTTCCTCTTTTTGTTTTTGTACTTTTTAACTGTGTTTTATTAACTTGTAAATATTGGTTTATATTTCATTTATATATCATAAATTAAAGAATTTAAATGTAGAATTGTCTTATATTTGAGTGCTGTGTAACCAAAAACAATATTACCTCATTACGCATTGACCCGCATAATTTATGATTGATCCAACAAATTGTTTGCTCTTAATCCAAACAACACAAAAAAAAAACACAAACAACAGGAGGTGGAAAGGCGGATCCATCGAACCGCATCCCACGGATAAGGCGTTGATTGTCAACTACCAACTGGAGGCCACCGTCTTCGGGGAGCCCAACAATCCGATGATCGAGGAAAAGAAGGTAAGATCAGACATACGAATGATTTCATCGATGCAACGAGAGAAGATACATGGGTTTTTACTATAGTTTCCACTATTTTAAATATATGTTTATAGAAAGAAATAGGTCCAAAATGTAAGAGAAGGAACGGAAATTGTTCGACATTTAGTTTTCTAACAAAAGCCCTAAAAATGAAATGGTCAGAGGAAATTGATAGAGGGGAATTCAATAAAATAGAGTATGCACAACAGAGTCTATTTATACACTGTCATGTAAAAGGGGTTACAAAAATATGTTAATAATAGTAGTGTTCAGATGTAATGAACACTGCTAGGCCATGTTCTGGAAAATATTTAAATGTACGACTTCATATTCTTTTTAAAGTTAATATAAAAACAAATTTATGCAACTAAGGAAGTATAAGTACTATATTTTTTTTATTGTGTACCTCTAAAAGGGTTATGGGGCGGGGGGCAGTAGCTGACATTGAGCAGGCCAATCGATAACGTAACAACGGGGTCGATGACGGGTCGCGCTCAAGTATCGAGCAGTGAGTAACGATGCCCAAAAGCGGTTGGCGGGTCTTTAACCTCAATTCACGTTTTTTACCTTTTTGTCGATTGTTCACGACCATAAATAAATAGTAAGCCTTTTTTGTGTCGTATTTTGCCAGAAATCTTGGCGACCGTATAGGCTTTTGTTTGGATAAGTAAATATACATACATACCTATACAAATGCATACACTTACAAAACAGCCCTCTAAAACTTTTCCAACTTTGTAGCTTCATTTTTGCACAATCTTGATAATTATTTGTGGAATATCGTTAAAGTAATAAGCAACAATAATGTAATTATGATTTCATCTTCACAAAATAAATAAAAAGCATATATTCTGAGGATAATAATCCCAGTTTTAAAATGAGTTTAGTCAAAAAGAATTGGTTAGTTCGCATAGACTATGTTTCTATGTATGTCCTACTTCTATAAAATTATAATACAATTTATAAACGGATAATAGTTTATATTATTAACAAATAAAACAATGTATTTCTTTTCTATCATATTCGCCAGCACTGTCAAAAAATCATAAGACTCCGCTCGCTAAACGCCAAAACGGATCCAGCTGCTTTGGCCCGCGAAGTAGTGGAAAAATGCGATCTCATCCACAAGTCCCAGCTGAATGACGTTGAGCAGATAATCTTCTATCTGAAGAATCGCAAGGACAATGCCAGCAATGGTAAGCAATCAGCCCTTACTTAATATAACTTCTAATTAAAATAATATCTACCCGTCAGATATTCCGGACAACAACACTCACAGCCGGCGGTCGGCGGCACTTCACACCTCGCACACCCGCTCTTCCGCTCGATCGCACAGCAGTGTGGCGGCTTTGACAGGCAGTACCGGGAGCGGTGCAGGATCCACAGGAACCAGCAATGGTGTGTCGAATGCCCTGAGTGCCGCCACGCCTACGGCCGATGTGTCCATCAATAATATCGATGAGTACGTGGAGCTGCTGTACGAGGAGCTGGGCGAACGTATCCGTGGCTCGGCCATGATCCTCCAAATGGCAAGGAATCCAGATAATCTCGAAGAGTTGGAAAAGAATGGTTAGTAAAGGTTTTTTGTTGTTTAAAAACTTATCCCAATCTTTTTTTTGTCACTTTAGAAGCCTGCCTCAGCGCCTTGTCGCGTGTGCTGCGCGAAGATTGGCGCAAATCCCTGGATCTCTCCACCAACATAATCTACATCTTCTTCTGCTTCTCCACATATACCAAGTTTCATCCACTCATTGTCCAATATAAGGTGGGAATAGATTTTATAACATCATTTTTCATATTTAAAAAGAGTCTTAAGAAAATTTTCCTTTAAAATAACTCTTTTTAACCAAAATTAATGTTGTAAAATAAATCTGTATTTGTATTGTACGATTTGTATCAGATTGGATCGCTTTGTATGGATGTGATCGACTACGAGTTGCGTCGCTATGAGTCTATGCGGAATGAGCTGGACGTGCGCAAGCAACCTAACGGATCCTCTACTCCGCACTCGGCGAAGGCCAGCAAGGAGAAGCTGAACCGCAGCACCGACGACTTCCTAGACATAATGAATGAGGAGAAGCCTAAAGAGGTATTTATTTATAATTTTTTTAAAGTAATAAATAAAAAGTAATCGATTATACAATTGCAGATGGAGCCGCCGCGACGACGCATTCCGGAGCTAAAGCAACGGCCAAAGTCCGGCAATTGGAGCAGTTTTCATGGCTCTATGTCGTCGTCGCTAATCAAAAGTCAGATCCTGAACAGCAGCTACCACGAGGCTCTCTGCGCTGGCAGCTCACCTGCCGGTGATCCTCCGGCTGTGCCCTCTGAACTCAAGGCGCAAAGTAACGAGTCACTGGACAGAAACGATCCTAAGGTTAAAAAGGAAGAGATCGATCGGCTAAACAAGCAGCTGAAGATATTTGCCAAGAAGCAGGAGCAACTGTTGCGCGTGGCATTTTATCTACTACTGAACATGGCCGAGAATGTAAAGCTGGAGGAGAAAATGCGTCGCAAGCACATTGTGAAGATGCTGGTCAAGGCGTTGGATCGGCAGAACATCGATCTCCTAATGCTCGTTAGTACGTTCCTTAAGAAGCTATCGATTGTAGGCGACAACAAGGATGAGATGGGCGCGCTAAATATTGTGGCAAAGTTGCCACGATTGTTTCAGAGCACGCACACGGATCTGGTGCAGGTCACCTTGAAGCTGGTCTTCAATCTCTCCTTCGACGGCGGGTTGCGCCGCAAGATGATCGCCGCAGGATATCTGCCCATGTTGGTGATGTTCATTAACGACGAAAAACACCATGGCATTGCCGTGAAAATCCTGTACCACATGAGCTTGGATGACAAAGTAAAGGGCATGTTCACGCAAACAGAATGTGTGCAAATGGCCACGGATGCTATAATCCTCAACCTTAATGTTAAAGTCGATTTGGATCTCATTGCCTTGTGCATTAATCTCTCGTTGAATCGCCGGAATGCCCAGATCATGGTGGAGGGCCAAAGATTGCATAGCCTAATGGATCGTGCGTTTAAGTACCAGGATGCCTTGCTGATGAAGCTGCTGAGGAATCTCTCGCAGCACGAATCCCTGCAGCTGCAGTTCATCGACTACGTAGGGGATCTAGCGCGCATTTTGACCATCTGCGATGACGAGGCTTTTATAGTGGAGTGCCTGGGAATTTTAGGAAACCTAGCCCTAACCGATTTGGATTACTCGCAGATCTTGCAAAACTTCCAGCTGATTCCATGGATTAGGCAGCTACTGGTGCCCTGTTCCAGAATGGATGATCTTGTGCTGGACACCATCGTTTACTTGGGCACATGTGCGTGCGACGAGTTGTGTGCCCTGTTGTTTTGCCGCGCCAAAGTGGTTATATCGCTGATCGAGCTGCTAAAGGCCAAACAGGAGGATGACGAGATTGTGCTGCAGATCATATTTGTGTTCCAGCAGATCCTCCGGCACGAGAGCACCAGGGAATACATGATTAAGGAGACGGAATCGCCTGCCTATCTAATCGATCTGATGCATGACAAGAATGAGGAGATCCGCAAGGTTTGCGACTATTGCTTAGATATTATCGCCATCAGTGACAGCGAGTGGGCCAAGCGCATCAAGGTGAGTTGCTTGTCAGATTAGATATGGAATCGCCGAGCAAACTTGTTTTGCGACCATATATTATAATAAAAATCGTTCCTTTGGCAGCTGGAGAAATTCCGCAATCACAACTCACAGTGGCTGTGCATGGTGGAGTCGCAGCAGGATCAGGACAATGAGCAGGACTACGCCGACCAGGAGGACGAGTGTGAAAACGACCTAGACACGTATCTGCGCTCCGAGTACTTGGACAATTGCGATCTCTACAACGACAACGCCGACAATGACAGCAACAGTAACAGCAACCATAGCAACAACAATCCGGCCAGCCCGGCCATGTCCACCTACAGCAGGCCACTTAGCACGTGAGTTTCACATAAATTTATTGTTAAATTTGAAACTGCTATTCACCGTTTTTGTTCTTACAATCGTACAGCTACCGTCGCAGCCAGGATCTCGATGATCTGTACAACATGACCTCCAGCTCGAAGTCGCAGGGCTCCAGCGACAATAACTTTATGTTCAAGTCGAACAAATCTCTGGATGCCGATGGCCTTCACGAGGAGCTGCTGATGGCTTAGAGCTGGACAAAGATGTTTGCAGAAATGACGCCGAACCGATCAAATTTTAATTAAGATGTTTCTGCTGATGTCCCCTGTGTACATGTTTAGTCACTACATATTAATGACCTTCTGCTACGATTTATAGGATATATATATACGATACTTTCACGCTTGTTAGTCAAAGACGTTAAATGATTTTAGCGACGCGGCAACTTTGTACTCAAGACATTCAAATCGAGCAACGGCGCACATTTACAAGTTTAATTTTAGTTTGGTTACATATTACTTATTACCTATTAATTGTTTTTTGTTATTTATTAATCTTTAATTTATTGAGGCCTAGTATCGCGATTTTTCGCTTAGCTTTCCCTTGGTTGCTCGCTAAGCAATTACTGTGCAATAATCTCTCACTCAAAGTATTACGTCGAACGTTTTTAGTTGTAATTGTTATAGTTTGCCAATCCTTAATTTTTGGTTCTTTATCGAATACCTTAAAAATCGAAACGACGGGCGAAAAATGAACAGAAAGAAACCCCGAAAGAATATATACAAAGCTAATGTAAATGTTGATGATGCTTGTTTTGTTGTTTGGTTTGGGTTTTTGGAAGGTGGTTTACAAGGACATTATAAGGAACTGTTTTCTTGAGTCCTAGTTAACGTTGGAATCTGGATAAAATTGGATATTGTCAAAAGGCAAAATGGGCATGATAAAAAATGAATGTAACGAAATTCGTAGAGGTCATTTACTATACTGCTTTTCAGTATTCTGAGCCGTCTCTTAATCCTATTTAGTACACCTTTTTGGCCTAAATATTTTTATATTCTAACAAGTAGGCTTAGAACAAATCACACCATACGACATTAGTTTGTCAAAGCAGTACATCAGTTGTTAATCAAATCTCAATCTGAAATTTTAACCTTTTGCTAAGTACTATTTGGACAATTTTTTAAAATCAAAAGTAATTCTTATTTAAATATTAAATTTGCAGAATTGCATTATCGAGAATGGAAAACAATCTGATGGACCGCGATTTATTGCCACACATAGACTCCTTTCTTCAGCTACGCAAGTGGGTGAATTTTTCCATTGACCAAGAATTTCGCAGCGTATCGGAGCTTTTTTCTGGAGTCATATACTGTCTTCTTGTGAACAAGATTTTTGATGATGTTGTACCTCTCGAGGAAATATTTCCCATTACGGACCAACTTGCCGAAATCAGAGTAAACTTTGAGATTCTGCAGACGAGCTTTGATGAATTGCAAATTCCGTTAAGTGTTCCAGTCGACGATCTGGCCGAGCTTGACTTCTATGCCAACCTGAGGTTTGCAGCAGAGTTCTACGATGTCTTTAAGTACTTCTGCCCCATTTATGGGAATAATACCCTACGTTCTGGTTAATAACTTAAGGAGTTGGGTAGGGACTAGAGGAACGTCGAGATTCCATGTGCATTTCTAAGTGCAAACAGGAAGGATTTCCCTTTTAAAATAAAACAATTGAAAATTATATTGGTTTATAATTTTGTGTTACACAATAAGGAATATTAAGTTGCAATTCGTTTCCGAAACATACTTATGACAGTGGCTAGACCGATCCGATAAACATGCATATATCTATGTACGTGTATATATATAAATAGAAGAATATGTTCTCTAGTTCACTATATATATCCATAAGGCGAGGCCTTCTAGCGTTCAATTTTAACCTAAACCTAGATCTCTTCTTCAGCATTGGCATTTCCCATTGATTCGTGCTCCGGGTAGCTTTGACTTGGATTATGTCTCATCTGCCGCAGTTTTGGACTTAGCCTATGGTTTAACAAATTTTTACACAAATATCAGACACAGAAATACATATAAATATAGAAAATATCAAGTGGAGAAGTGGGACAGGTGTAATGCCTATAACAAAGCGCTAAACAAATCTACAAATACAGCCACCTAAGCCCTAAACAAATATCGTTAGTCTAAATAGTCCATGGTCTTAATGAACTTGACCACGGATCCGAAGAGCGTCCAATAGAACTCGTCTTCGCCTTCAAGTTTTTTGCCCAGAAAGCAGCTGATGTATTCCACGGTCGACAGCAGATATGGGGGATTGGCCTGCGGGATACGGTAAAGATATAGTTAATTTGTCTTCAAATTGTTTCCAGCGCCTACTCACCATTATCACTACGTATATGAGCACAGGCAAAAGATCATCCGCAGCTGGCACCCGACCACTGGACATTCGCAGCAGGCTCATGATACTCGAGATGCAACTGATGGGTTAAATGGTAATTAAAATATATTTCAAATTCACATTTTACACTTTACTTACTTAATAATGCATTGCAACTTCTCGCGTGGCGTCTTGTAAGCAGCCATGTGACAGAGCTGCTGTTGGGCGAATGTCCACGGAGCCTCGCTGAGATACTCCTGAGCGATGCACAGTGCCGGATGAGCTGGATGAACGAACCTCTGAAGTTTTCCAATGTGAGCGGAAAGCACCTCATCGCGCGACACATCGGCATCCTCATTGGGGAACATCACCTGCTCATACATTTGCTCCAGTAGCATCCTCTCGATGGCCACGCGTGCAGCATCTACCTGCCACTCGTTCTGAAGATCTGCACTGGAGCGCAGCTCCTGCAGCAGGGACTCCACAAACTCCTCGGTTAACTCTACGCGTTCATCGCTGGCTCGCAGCTGACCAAACTCGCTTTGGAATTTCTCCAATTTCTCTTGCTGACGGGTCCAGGCTAGATACATCCTGACCAGAGCCTGCAGCAAGCATCTTTGGCTACTGCGCGCTTCGCTCCGCAATCGCGCCTCCAGCTGCTCCAGTTGCTCTGACCGAAGCAACAGCTGTTGCCGGTGTCGCATTAGGTACTGAAGGTAGCTCTGCCGTCGCTCAAGATCCCGCTGCAGTTCGGCCAACAGTTGGCCATGTTGGGGTCGTTCCAATTGGGCTAAACAACGCAGGGCCTCGGCCACGTGCGAGATTTGAGGTAGTCGCTGCAAACTAATGCACTGCGCCAGCTGGATCTGCAGGTAGATCTGTAGGGGTGTGGCCATCATTGTGGTCGTGGTAGACGTCTGACGGAAATCACCGCTATGCAGATCTGTTCGTGAGAGTACTGTCCGGAGCTTCTGCTTCACGCATCCAAAAGCCACGCCAGGGATTTGACTGAAAATTAAGGGGATATGCGTTCCAGAAAATGATACAGTGAAAGCTCCATTTACTCACCCTCCGTTCATGTGCTTGTGCAGATGAGCAGTTGCTCCTCCAGATCCCGCCAGCCCTCCTCCGTGACCATTGCCAGTGGAGTCAGAGTTTGTGGCCTCGCTGGAGCTGCTGACCTTGCGGCGATACTTGGCCAGGATATCTTCGCTCGTATCACAGTAGTGGGTACCGAAATTATCGCATCCGGCACTAGGATCAAAGCTAACGCTGCGAAGATCCGTTTGGGCACTAGAAGTGATGGCCGCGGTATTGGACTGATTACCGGCGTTGCTTGGATTCTTGGCACTCGTTCCTCGGCGATTCTTGAAGATGCCCTGCTTCAGTTTGTTGAAAATGCCAGCTCCGTGGTGATCTCGCTCCCGATCGCGATCCCTGTCCCGATCTCGTTCGCGATCCCGCTCCCGATCTCTTTCTCGATCACGTTCACGTTCTCTATCCCTTTCTCGATCCCTTTCCCTGTCCCGATGATACGGTTGCTTATCCTTGTCCGCACTTGCATCGAAACTAATGCTCTTTGGTATAGCTCCGGTTGCTTTGGTGGGCGGCTTTAAGCCCGAGCCTCCAGCTTCTGCTGCCAAGCCGGATGCCTCTGCTTCAGTTCTCAAGCATCTTCGCTCCTCGAGCTGCAATTGCTGGGTCTGCACACAGAGTAGCATCTCCTGCTTGTCATCATCTGTTTTGGGCAACATGGAGTTCAGCATAATCTCGTGGTTTTCATAGTTCAAGCTCTGGTGGCGTCGCATACTGCCAGCCAGAATGCCATTTCGCCGACCATCTATTATGGCTGAGCGTTGTTCGATGGAGATACGTCGATGCTCTACACTAGGTGAAGAAATCGAAACATTTCCGACATTTTCATCCTGGTTAAACATATCCAGCAGTTGTTGAACCAAGCCTGGCGGCTGTTCTGGGTCCATATTCCTCGCCAGCTCTTCTTTATCCTCGCTGCAGTCGCTGAAATCGATGAGATCCCGATGTTCCTTCTCCTGCTGCTGGTGTTTCTTCTTTTTAAGGGCTGACCTCTCCCTTTCTCGATGATGATGATGATGGTCGCGATGATGATGCTCCCTGTGGTGATGATGATGCTTACCCATGGGCGGCGGCGGTTCCTCGAGGTTCAGGCTCTGATTACTAATGCTACTTTCCGCGGAAGTTTGGCGTCGCATACAGGAAGTACCCATTAGCGGTGTGGTCTTGCGGCCACTAGAATCTGCTCCACTACACTTGTACTGCTGCTGGAAACTACTTTCGCCGCCAAGTACATGGTAGGTGGTCCGCACCGAGCTCCTGGCCAAAGAAGAAGCGCCCTGGTAAAGATTGGCATCCTCATAAGAGTTCACGGCATCAAAGAAAGCTGAATCTTCCTGGCTTCGTTCACTTCCGTTTCCCCGATCCGGATCGGGTTCACCATCGCCACTGCTACCAGGCGTCTGCTCATCCTCATCATCGTCGTCCAGAACCGCAGCCTGTGGCGCCGCAGTATCTGATTTGGCCGTAATGGAAACATTGTCATCCGTATCGATTTCAGCCAGCTTCTCCGAATCGCTGGCCAAGACATCGGTGCTCCAATTACTCTCTGATCTCTGATCGGAAGCATCCAGCTGTGGTCCATGGACTCCTGGAACTCGGCCAGCTCTGGCCAAAGCCTCGACAACGAAATTATTATCGCCAGGCAGGACAACAGCGGAAGGTATCAGGGGAGTGGAGAAATTCCTATCCCTGTCACCACGCTCGCTTACGGTGGCATCCAGGGTGTTTTCCGAATCTGAGGCCAGCACATCCGTGGACCAAGTGTCGGAAATAATGCTCACATTCTCGTCACCCTCGAACTTTTTTAGCTCAAATTTGCAAAACTTATCCTCTATGTCGGATCTAGCCTTAGATAGTAGCATCTTTTGCATTTGGGGATTCGCAGCAGCCCGGGCATGAACGCCATGATGGTGGCCCAAATCTCCGCCAGCACCATCACCATCTGTTACTTGCGATGAGGGTGTATCTCGGCCACTGATATTTGGAGTTCCCCTTCCCGAAACATTCGCTGAAACCATATCAGATAGGTTGTCCTCGTTTTCATGCACATCCCGCTCCTGCTGCTCCTCTAAGTCCAACGAACTGGCCACCGAATGAGCTGCTTCACTAATAGCCTCCAGATTATCCGAGTTCCCAATCGAAGCGTCATCCTGCGGCCTCCTCATGGCCTCAAGACTGCTTACATCATCGTTATTTGAAGAGGGCGCCAACGGAGCTGTGGTGACTACAGCTGGTAGCAGATTACTGCCATCCTGACCGATGCAATTCATCTTTAAGACTTCCTCTTCGGTCAGAGGCTTTAGTTTGCTTTTTGCAGCTGCATTATAGATGCTAAATACCAGCACGGGATCCGAGCAGGAGGACATGTCTAGGGGATCGTTTGCTATCGGAATGTTAGCTCCGCAGGAACTCAAGCTGGTGTTGCTGCCGCTGTGCGATGAACATTGCTCGAGATCAGCTCCTAATGCTCCGCTGCCATTTGAAGTGTTAGCTTGGCCATTGGTCAATGGCTCTGGAACTGGAACAGGAACAGGAACAGGATGGTGATTACTACTGCTTCCACTGCTGAAACTCATGCCTTTGGCTAGCTTCTTGGTAGCTTTTCCCAGGCTCATCAGACTCTTGTTGCTTTTTTTGCTTTTCTCTGGACTTTCTCGGGTATCTGGCACATCCTGGGGCATCTGTTGCTGTATCTGCTGCTTGGGTATTCGGCTTAAAATCCTCTGCAGTCGCTGTCTCTCCTCTGCGGATATATCATATTCCTCTCTGGCAGTTAACAATCGAAAGAACTCCACAAGCTGTGCCAGTTCCCTTTGGTTAATAGCCAATTGGGAACGCTCAAAGTCACTTTGTTGCGGCAGTATGGCCACTACATCTTCGCCAGTTTGTCCCAGCATAAGTAACTCCATAAGCTGTACCAGTTCGCTGTCCTCATCGTTCAGAGCCAATCGTTGGAGCAATCTTACAATCTGATTAAGATTGTGGCGCATCCGCTCGCTCACGTTAACATCGATAATGCCCAGGAGATCAGCACTGGCAATCGCTGGTGAAATGAAATGTGTGAATACCAAATCGGTGAGCAGCTGGCGTATCTCTTGTTCCTCGTGACGCAACGTCTGTCGGAGCTGCTGACTCAGTGTTTGGAGTAACCATCTCAGAGAACTGGGAAATAGCACCCAGCTCTGCTGTAAGCTTTTTACAAACTCTTGGACATGTGAGTGCAGTTTTCCCAACGTTTCCGCATGAAAACGAGCAACATTTCGCTGGTACTCCTCATCGTCCTCCCGACCAAAGCGCTTTTCCCGCTCTTTCGGCGTAAAAGTCTGCATTAGCTTGTGGGGATCCAGATCCAGCCAAATCTCGTGCTCACTTAGTACACCCATCAGTGGGGCATGAAGGGCGGCAGTTAGGAAAATCCTCGCTGAAAACAAGCTCTCCACTAATCGTTGGTACAGTCGGGCAAAGGAGCTGCTATTGGTCCTGAGCAAACGCCTTGGTTGTTCGCTAGTTAACAATTGAATTTCGATCAGCTCCCTCAGCAGTTTCAGAAGTAGCTCGACGTCCTTGGTGTTAATGGCATTGCCATAAAGACCCGTGGCAATGGTATTGATAATTTGACCAAGTTGGCTGGCCGAGAGCAGTGACAAACGATCTGCGGTGGCTAGAGAAAGGGCCAACAGATAAGGTGTATTATACAAGTAGTTGAACAGATCCTCGTAGGCCAACGCATGCTGAAAATAAAGATTTTCATTGTATTATTCTGAATATCCCTAAACACTTTTTCCTGATCCTCACCTCATAGGGCAGCAACTGTTTGGCGTCGACGAACTGGGCACTGTCGTAGGCATTTGCTCTGCGGCAGGAAAGTAGGGGATCTTGATCGGTCCGCGCGAGGAGAAGCTCATTGAGGATCTGCCGCTGTTGGGCACACACAAAGGCCAACTTGGTTATGGTCCCTGCATTGGTTTCCAAGGCCCCAGTGAGTTGGGCAAAGGCCGCCTGTTCCTGCTGAATGAAAAGCTGCTCCTGGCGTAGAGTGCGGGCCAGGTCCATGATTTCCAGCAGATTGCCAGCAGCTGGAGGCTCCATGGTTCAGCCTTTGCTGGCTGGAAAAATAATGCAAAACAATGTTATTATACAACCTGAATCACTTTTTCTTTATCAAAATATCGCATTACTTTTATAGAATTATCAAAATGATATATATATTTAAAATAACCAATTATCCAAGATTTCATTTTTATATGATAACTACATTGAACTACATATGTACATATTTGCTTAGTCTAGCCTGAATAAATGCGTAGTATTTGCTATTGTTGCTTTTACTGCATTTTCTTGGATTTATTTCCGCACGGGAAGTATTAGTTGTTATCAATTTCCGCATTCCATTCCACACAATTTCCATGTTTTTGTTGATTTTTATACATTTTTAAATATTTGATTTTGTTAAGAACTAATTTATTTCTGCTTAGATTCAAAAATCATTAAAGTTCAATTCAGTACTCCTCTTGAAGTATTCATTATATCCAATCAGTCTTCCCTGAGAATTGATCTTAATTTTTATTTTTAATAGCAATCATTTTCCCATCCGCTTTTCCCATTTTCCCTCGCCTTGAGTACTGCGCAATGGCGCAATTTAAATTGCTTTGCATTATTTATGAGAATGTGTGACATTTGATATCAGTTCGCTACTCGGGAATCAAATAGACCCAAGCTGTCAACTAGTTTAATGGTTGAGCGCCAGTTAATTGATGAACATAAATATTTAACATCTAATGGATGGCGAAGTGGATTTAAAAACGAATCAATTTCGAAATAGGCTAAAAACTGACATACATATTTTATAAGTCTTAATATTATTTCATATATTTCTTCTAACAATTCGGTAACTTCAGATATTTTTAACTGTATATATATCATTTACCTTATACCACATAAACTTGCCCAGCACAATTATAAACTAAATATAAATGAAAGCTTATAAACTCTTTGTGACAAGCGATTAATAGCGTTACTAAGTGGATGAGTTGGGAGTGCCAAAATCGTGATCAATTCATTTCAATGTGACTCTGATTATTGTACCGATTCAGTAGAAGTCCCTACAGCCTGACCTTATTTCCCCATTGTTGTTTACACCTGTGACGTCTGAGATCGCATGGGAAAGCGTATCACGCGCTCAGCTCTAATTGGAATCTCTTGAATACAGTGGATATTGGATAATTGATCTTGGAAAAGATTATTAATTAGTTAACCATTACAGAACTTTTAAAGACAATCTATTTTATTTCAAAAATATTGAAACCAATCTTAGCATAATCATTATCCTCTATTTATGTAGATTGTATAAACTAAGATATAGTTTTATATAGCCAACATCCACTGTACAAGATAGCATTACAAAGACTTATAGTAAGATATTCGTTTTTAGCTGTTTAAATGGCTTTAACGTTGCACGAACAATGGTTTTGTATATAACCACGGATTCGATTTCACTGGCGCTGCTTTTGGTTTTTGTTTTTTAGGCCTTGGTCAAGGGCAGACGTCAATTACGAAAGCCAATGCCCTGTCACTCGATGCTCCACCCCGCTGCCTCGCTCACAGGTCCCCACAAAGAGAAGAGGCAGCAACAAATATTTGCGCCTCAATTAACGGCTATTTGTAATGCAGATACAGTGGTGGTCAAAATAATAGTTATACCGTAAGAAACCAACAAAAAAATGGGGGTGTATTATTAAACAAATTACTGAAAAAATAATACAAATTTTGGTGGAATGTGAACAGAAACTATTAGTATAAAATTCATTTAAACTTTACTTACTAGCTCACTTATGATGACTTATTTTTTGGATGACTTAAATATTTTACACTTTACATTAAAATATAAAACAATATGCTATCTTTTGTTTTCAATGCACAGAAAGGTTTATAAAAATAGTCTAATATATGATTCATTTACTTCTTACTGTCGAACAACTATTCTCTCTATATGTATTATTAAACTGCTTGTGAATAAAAGCCACCTGAACCATATATTTAGGGCTATCTGGGAGAGCCAAATAAGTTAACCATTTAAATACTTAAAAATTCACTGAGAAAAATGCCAACTGCACTGCCCTAAGCATTATCTATCTATTATTTTGACCGCAGCTGTTGCATTTTGCGAACAAGAAAGGGCTATGAGCCACTGAGTTTGCTTTAAATTTTATCTTATCGATAAGTGTGTGAAAGTCTTTAGGCTTCTCTTAAGATAAACAATGGGTCATACGTGGAGGGAATATTGTTTATTGGCGATGACTGTTATTGCACATATGTATTTGTATAGGGGACAAAAAAAAACGATGTGTGGAATTTGCAAAACGAAAAAACAAAACAAAACTGATTTGTTGCGCTCATTACACATTCACAGACACATCTCGAAATTGGGGGTGGATATGCACAATTGCAGTTGTGTTGGTGATTTAATAGTTTAGTTTATTTGGTTATTTATTGTACCAAGCACTCACAATATAACACAGAATTAGGGGAGAATCGCACAAATAACACACAAAAACAAAAACAAGTAACAAAAATGAAAAGTAAATCCAAAACGTAGGTCCGTTATGTGGGCGCTGATTGCTCGTGTATGCGTGTGCGAGCAAGAGGGAGCTACCAATATGCGAAGGCCAATAAGCTGTTGTTGTTGTCGCTGCTCCTTCTGTTTCGTTTCCTCTTCACCCCCTTTAGAACATCTTTCTCTTTTTCTCTTTCCTTGGCGACCTCTTTTTGTTGTTGCTTTTTTTATGAATGAAAGTCTTGATTTTTTAAAACAATTTTTTAAGTGTTACACACTCACTCACACACACTCACAAACCCAGCACTTTTGCGCACTCAGTTTTAATAATTATTTGATTCGTTGTTTTTTTTTAATTTTTACTTACTCCTGCGCCTGTGATAAAAAACTTAACTTAAATTATAGTGCATAAACAAACGGAACGGGAAAATAAATAAATTATCACACGGGCAAAACACACACACGCGTCTCCAAAAAGGAAAACAACAAAAACAATTAAATGCTATCGGTTTGAGCATTGACTATCGATAGCCGACACTCGATAAGTGCTTATGGCGCTAGCTAACACTATAAAAAATTTGTGTCATCGCAAAGTTACAGCTGTTGACAAGTTAAATTTAATCATTATTCAAGAAATTTAATATATACAAGATAAATTTACAAGTTCAAATTTGTTAAATTTGCTTACTTAAGATGCCAAAAGTGCGCCGAAGCCGAAAACCACCGCCAGATGGCTGGGAACTGATAGAACCAACTCTGGAGGAACTGGAGCAAAAAATGCGCGAGGGTAAAACAAGCGTGGCTTCTTTTCGCAAAAGAAAAAAACGAAGTAGTAATCTTCTGTATATAATTCTTTACAGCCGAAACAGAGCCGCATGAGGGCAAGCGTATTACGGAATCATTGTGGCCCATTTTCAAGATCCACCATCAGAAGACTCGCTATATATACGATCTGTTTTATCGGCGTAAGGCCATTAGCCGGGAATTGTACGACTATTGTCTGAAGGAAAAGATCGCCGATGGCAATCTGATCGCCAAGTGGAAGAAGTCAGGATACGAAAACCTATGCTGCCTGCGCTGTATCCAAACTAGGGACACCAATTTCGGGACAAACTGCATCTGCCGGGTGCCCAAATCTAAGCTGGAGGAAGGTCGCATTGTCGAGTGCGTCCACTGTGGTTGTCGCGGCTGCTCCGGATAGAGCCCATATAGAGGATTCTCTATATGATATAAATCATCCTCACCCAATGTAGTTTAGTAGGTTCCATTATAGATTCCACGTGGAGAAACCATAGCATGTAAATACACTTAAATGCAAGCCACAAATATCTCTAAACAAAGCATGACATTTGTGAAGCTGCTGTAATAAAACGATTTTATAAATGATGCTCTCAAATTGTTCAAGAAAGTTCAGTAGTTAATGGTTAATTGGCTAAGATGTTTTTATGTAAAACAATTTTTTTTAATAGAATTTGTAGGAAAAAAAATATAACTTTTGTAAGGTTGTAATTTATAAATATAAATTATATCCTTGAAGTATAGATTAATAATAGTTAACAGTCTAGTTAGTTGTTTAGCAAAATTCTTTGATTTGCTATGCTTCTTTCTGTTTAGCAAGTTTTCTGAAAATCCTTAGCAAATCGGAGCATTATCAGCATTAAATACTTTCAATCATATTTGCATTTAATATTTTTGGTTGTTTTTTTGAACTCAGCTAAAGTCTATTCTAGCCCAATTCAAATATTAAATTTGTCTATAACTTCAGAGATCTGTTCACTTAATTTAATTTAAGTATAAGGCTTATTTTGACCATGAAAATAGATGAGATTTCTCTATTGATTTTTAAAATAGCGAAATAAACAATTGAAATTTATATGTCCTTCTAATGCATTTTTCACAGTTTTCCTTTAAACGATATCTACTATACATAGATTTTAATTTAATGCCTTGGACAATTTATTGCTGCGCTGACATAATTCAAACTCAATGTCGTTCGGGGATGTGGGTTGCGGCGGAGTCGCCTTCATGTGCGTGTATTTATGGTCGATGGCTCCTCGATTTTGAATGCCCTTGCTGAGGATACTATGATATTTTTATTGGACATTAATGGGAGTCGTGCAAGACGTTTGATTGGTATTAAGTTTTATACATTCTTAGGCATTATAAACTATAAAAGTTACAAGGGCATTCTAAACGTCGGTGTTCGATTTTTGCTTCATTTTATTTCACTCTCCTCGAGCTGGAAAATTGTCAGGCTTCAAGTGTTCCTGCGGGGTTTTAGGGAGAAGGCGGGGGCAATGTCAATAGTGGGGGAGTGGCCGGTCAATTGGGATTTGGACGAAAATGATTATAAATGGTTTTTTAATTATACTTGTCTGCATATTTTCTCATTTACCACCCAAACGCAGTGCCGTCGATTTTATTGTTCGCATCGACAATGGATAATGGCGAATGGGAAATCGGAAAAATGGAAAATTATTGTCCATCTGCCGCTGACAGCTTGCCCCCATCTGGCTAAAAGAGAGATTTCGAATTGAAACTGCTTTTGGCCACTAAAAATACTCAATTGTTTTGCCAATTACCCAGCGGAGTTATTTAAGCGATTTATGTAATTCGAGTGGCACATGTGGGGTCAAATAAACGGAACATAACACGTATCTATGCTTTTTAAATTGAAACTAAATTGGAATGTATTGAAAGTGACATCAGCAACATATGGCGTTGAGACCAACTCTTGATTCATATACTATGTTTATGCTAAACCTTACCAATTTAATATAAAAATTTGAAAGTAAAGTACCGTATAAATTATGATCTCAACCAATCCTTCATTCTTCAAAAGGATTATGGATATGTGAACTCGCTGGGTTAACCCTTTAACCCCTTTCATGCAGGTCGCTGAACCTCTTATCCTTTCAAGGGTTGTTAAATTAATTAATACACTAGTTGCAGTTGGTTTTATGGGTTAATCCCACTGCCTAAGACAGGCCGTAACTTGTTTTCTCACCCTGCTGTTAAGAGCCCCTTAAAAATGGCTACCTGATTGGGAAATCCGTTCACCGAGGGGTTAAACCGGAGTGGGCGAATAAAATACGTAAGTAGGTAAGTAATTAGGTAGCCAATGAATGCATCTTATCTCATAGCCCAGCTTGATCCCACAGTTTGGCATGTGTTTGGTTTTTCTATTTACATGAGCAGGTTGATTTTCCACGGTGTCCCACATTTGTTGACTTAGTCAGGTCAGATAAGACAAATCATCAACCGAATGTTGATAAAAGAGCATTCAGACTTGACCTTGGGATTACTGTGGATTTTATACCGATTTTAAGTTTATTTAAATTTATTTTGACTGGTGACTAAAAATATGTATTAATTGCAGCATATTTAATATCTTACTCTTATAACCCGATGGGTATTTCGTATATATTTATAAATAAAACAATAACGTTGATTAAAAGTAGTACAAATCTTTTTTATTCTAAAAAACTGCATTAAAAAATCAAAGTGTTCACACTTATAATCTTGCTTTGATAAAAAACAGAAAAACCGGATAAAATTAAGCATTCTTTTTATGTTTTTTTAAGTGAAATAAGAAACACAATAGGAATATTTATGTATATGGATTTATGTGGAAAAAAATTTTCCTTTTTATTATCATCAGAAACATTAATATTTAACCTAATTAATTTCCACAGATTGATATTTGGACCAAGCAGTTAACGAATAGAATATAAATAAAGAATGTAAATAAGTTCGTTTTGCTAAGTACTTATAAATAATATCGAAATACCACGCATGATAAGAGTTAAGATAGTTTACCACTTGGTTTAGTACAACCCAAAAATATACTCAGGGTATTATATAGATTACAACCGATAATTGTTTTTAACTTTTGTCCCATTAACAGGTATATTTCCTTCTTAATCCCTTTGTTTACATGTCTCCGATGCGTTAGCCAATCCGCGGACAGGTAGGCGGTGCCCAAAAAACAGGACACAAACAAGATCATAAAACCCAGTGACCATTCATGAAGGTAGAATCCGTGAATAACCCACCATCCGCCGTGCCCTACCTGCAGAATGGTATAAATTTGGGATGACAGAGGGGCTAAGGCATCATTAGCATTCGAAAGTTCGACGAGAGCAGACCAAGTCACAATATATCACCATGGAACGGAGTCATCTGTATTTGCCTAACCTGAGCTACGCGGCCATGGGTCACGTATACGCCCCGTATCACGGAAGCAGTTCAACCGCTTCGGCAACATCATCGAAACCCGAACATATCGAGGAGCTAGTGTCCCAGCAACTGCATCATCTCAAGATGCACTACGCCGACGAAGAGCAGCGCTACGTGGACCAGATGCTGCTGGAGAATCCCATTGTTGTGGAACGCCGAGCACCGCCTACGCTGAAAACAGAGATTGCCGTTGACACCGGATCAGTTTCTGGATCCGGTTCCGGATCGGACATCAAGGATGCACAGCGTCAGCGGGCAGAGTCATGCCGCAAGTCGCGGTACAACAACAAGATCAAGAAGGCCAAGCTGCGTTTCCGACACAAATTCGTCAGCGGACAGCTAAAGAAGAGCGCCGTTATGTTGGACACGATGCGGGATGTGATCGCGCAGGCGGAGAGGCAACTACTCGAACGGGGCTTTCCCGCCGCTGCTATCGAGCGCATGCGCACCACCTTCGGCCTGGAAATGGAGCAGTGATATCGCCAAACGATATCGTTTAGAATACCGGAATACAGTAATACCGTAATACCGGAGTAGGAACGGATCCCTGACTAGTCCAGCATTATCCATACCACATTTTTTTTTCTTGTTGACTATATTTAGTATTACTCTAAGAATATTATTAAATTTTTAAATAAAATTAAGAACAAATTAAGAAAGTGATTGAGTTGTTATTGAAAGTTTACTTACTGTTGAAACTGTTTATCCATCTTAGAGATGGAACCTTGAAAATGATAATAATCGAATGAGTATTTCGATTTCATCTGAGACCTTAAACTTTTTAATCGAAACTTTAACTCTTTACCGGCCAAAACCTGGCTAAATACACAATTGTGAGGCCATTAAAGATGCCTGAAATAAGTTGTTAACACAACGAGATTCTCCTTTATTTGAAGGCCACTTTGGAAATATTTATGCTGCATTTAACGCTTGGGCAGTCTCGAGGATTTCCTTTGCCTGGCCGAAGGTAATCCCATCGAAATTGGGCCAATGCAATGCACCCATTTCGACTTGGTTAAGTTCAGTTCATTTGATCCGACATGATTGCACTTTGCTTTCCAATTCCACGTTGTTTCCCTTTCTTTATTCCTTTTTCTTTTTCTTTTTTTTTGGCTTACGAACAATTTGCGTTGCCAAAAGCAGCAAATGCATTGGAAGTAATGGCCTTAAGAGGGGTGTGGCAGGAGATTGTGGCTAAATTTAGTGGGTCTACCAGAAAGGGGTATTTATGACTGATTATTAACTTCAAGTACGATTAATTATACAGCTATTTTGTAGAATAATTTTATTAAAGGGTAACAAATGGGTTTAAGGTATATACAATTATTAAAATATAATAGAAAAAGTTTCAATCTTAAATCATAACGATGATAGATAGACCTTTGTAGTCATTTAATGGTTTGTCAAGAATATTTCAAAATATTTTTTATATTCCTTAAAAATTCTAAGACCTTTCTAAGGTATCACCCATTCGTTATCAGCCATAGATTTATTTTTTAATAGCAGAACATTAAGGATGAATGCAGGAAGCAAATAAAACGAATGTAAAAAACGAAAGTCTGAGAACGCATTTCGCCACAATGGCCAATCGAATTTCAAGCTGATGCTCGCTCAAAAATTTCATTTTCACGTGCCAGGTTACAAATGATTTCATCGCCTCTACGCTGCTGTTTGCCTCGGATTTCCCCGCATTTTCCAACTTCCTGCTGCATCTTGACTACGCACGTCTCGCTCTTATTCGCTCACTCGCTCACTCAAGTGCACACAATGGCACAAAACGTCATCAGTGTGGGGAAAGTTACCTTCTAGTGTACCTAAACAAAGGTACATTTTATTAAGTTATAATATTTCTTATTATTAAATAGGAAAAATTGGAGACAGAATACATTGAAAAACAAAACTAAATGATAAGATTTGTGTTTTTCATTTATAAATTTTGTATTGATATTTTGTTATTAATATTATTGATTATTAAAAAATTAAAAAAATACTATTTAAAAGTAATTTGTAATATATTTTGTGTACAATTACCTAGGTACTTCCCATCACTGCTCGTCATAATAATAAATGAGCGAAGCGTTGCACCCACTTTGCTGCTCTCCCTCTCTTTCTTTCTGTGTTTTGCCCTTCCTTTCACTCCTTTGCAAAGTGTCGGAAAAGAACTTCAATTTGATTTTATCGCTCTGCCATAAAAGCTCAGCTCGTTTGTGTTGAATGCAGTACGCGGTCGAAGAATTTCAGAAATGAGAAGGAAAAAGGGGGTGTGGTGAGGGCTAGGAGATGATACAGAAAATGGAAACCTGCAACAGACAGTATTACCAAGAATAAATGTTGGTCAAAAATAGATTGAAATTATCCCTGATAGATATTATTTGTATTGCAAAGAAACCCTAATTAAGCGATTTGCCAAGGTAAAAGTTATTATTCCATAAGTAACCTAAATTATTGCATACTTTCAGGCTGGCAGTTTCGAATCTCTAGAAAAAGTCTCCAAATCGAACCACTTCCCGTTCCTGACCCCCATGAATCGCCACATTTAACGGGAAATTAGCAGTGTTGGCAACACTGAACACAAGTCCTGAAGAGGCGGAACGTGCGATGGAGTCCTGGTCAAGGATTCCCATTGTCTAGTCGACGCACCTGGCACAAAGACGATAAAAACTCGCATTGTCAATGGGCGAACGGTGGCGGCGGGGGTGGCGGTATCAAAACATCCGCCTTTGGGGCGGGCATCCCTCCTATATTCACTGCACGTTCCTAATGCGATGAATTGCTTTTTCAATTTTCCAATTTATTTTTCATTTTCAAAACTACACAAGGCGAAGTTTATTGATGGTTTTTGTTGCTGCACTTGGCAGCGGTTATCGGACGGCGGGCACTCGCCGTCCCATATATATATATATAGTATTTCGTTTGGTTTAGTATGAATATATATATCCCGGATGGGGACCTGAATTGAAAAAAAAGGAAACGGTGACCTGAGCCCGAAACTTTTTTAGCGGACGCTGAATGAAGCTGGAGCACAGTGGTCCAGATTGCAAGAATATGTTCTTAAAAAATGATTAATTTAAGCAATTTTTAAGATTCCTTAAAACTTAAATTTGTCTGGTAAGTAACATAAAAAGTTTCTTAGAAATAGAATAGATTATTTCTAAATTAATACCACTGTGCCGCTGTTGCGTGGCTCAGCTTGACCAGCGAAAAATCTCGCTGGGGAAAAATCGTCATTGAGCTTCCCTTGGCCTTTCCTTGGATTTCCGCGTTCAGTCGAGTCTATTTGATTTGCCAATGAATGGAAAAGCACAACAATGGGAATAGAAAACACAATGGTGTCTCTGTGCGAGGGAAAGTATTGTAAAGGGTAATAGATACGAAAGGGTAACAAGTTCTCGATTATCCTTAAATATTCGATCTTTAAAATATCGAAAGTGGAAATAACTTTTGTGTTTTAAACTATGTGATTGCCCCAAAAAGAACCTTTAAGGAAACCTTAAGGTAAAAAGATAAAAACATTAATTTAAAATTGAAAATCCTTAAAGGTTATCAGCGAGTGGGTATGTAAAGGTAAAGCTTTAGTAGAAAATGTAGTTCTCAAATCGGTTGGTAAATATTTGCCCAGCTGTCGCTGAGGAACTTAAGCGATCCTAAATGGTCTCCTTGGGAAAGGGACCCCCTGGTAGCCACCCCAAATTGCAGGGTATTATAATTATGTTTACTTAGGAGCTGGACGACCCAAACACCTGACATAACGACTCTCTAATTGCGCGCAAGCAAACAAACAAAATTGCAGGTGTCAAAACAGGAATTGGCTGGGGTTATAGGATATTGGTTAAGATAGGAATAGGAACAGGACTGCTAGGGATACATGCCATTTTCTCGGGTCATTTGTGCTAACAAACCCCATACGAATGGCGGTGCTTGGCTCGCTCTTTCTGCTTTTAATGCTGGAAAAAACACGGAACTCGAGCCAACTGGATGGATTACTGACGGAGCCCACCAGGGATTTGCCCCAATTGGAACTTTGGCTGCGAGCGAGTAAGCAGCATCAGGATGAGGAGAATCCCTATGTCCAATGGTTCATGCATCGCATGGAAATGCCTCTGACCATTCGAACATATGAGGAAACTGAGGATTGGCAGGACGATCCTTTTGGCTGGGATAATCTAGCCTTGGTCATGAGCTTAGACCAACTCATTGCCAATCAAGGAGCAGCTGCACCTAGCCAGAAAGCTGGTGTTTTCTTCTATATCCTGGCAGATCAAGTCGAGGAGTTTACACCAGAAAAACAACTACTTTTGGAGCGCAGCTGTCGTCAGTTATGGATGCAGCACAAAATCTACAATCGTTTCTTTCTCTTTGGATATGGAATTTGGGTCTATGATCCCTTCAAGCGTCGCGATTCCGTATTTGGGCAATTGGTGCGGTATTTTGGTTCCGAACCACTGAACAAACTATTTTTCCTTGACATGGCTGGCTATCCATTACGGATTCAGATGTTCAAGTCCGTATACACGCGGCCGGAAATCGATAAGGATACGGGTTTGTTGACGAGCATCACTGGCGCGGACTTTCAGGTGGCCCAAATGCTCAGGGAACGACTGAATTTCACCATGTTGCTGCAGCAGCCGGAAAAAAACTACTTTGGGTGAGTCTGGATAGATTTCTATATCTATATAGAAAGAACTTAACATCATTTTGCATAACCAAACAGAGAACGCAGTGCCAATGGCAGTTACAATGGCGCCATAGGATCGATTATCGGAGATGGATTGGATATATGTCTGACGGGGTTCTTTGTCAAGGATTACCTTGTGCAACAGTACATGGACTTCACTGTGGCCGTCTATGACGATGAGCTGTGTATATATGTCCCGAAAGCTAGTCGAATACCCCAATCGATTCTTCCCATCTTTGCTGTTGGCTATGACATTTGGTTGGGTTTCATTCTGACCGCCTTCGCTTGTGCTTTGATTTGGCTAACACTGCGGGTGATTAACCTGAAACTGAGAATAGTCCATCTGGTGGATCAGCATCTATTGGCCCAGGCATTGGGCATAATGGTGGATACCTGGGTGGTTTGGGTTCGTCTCAATTTGAGCCACTTGCCATCGAGCTATGCCGAACGGATGTTCATTGGCACTCTCTGTTTGGTGAGCGTGATCTTTGGCGCCATCTTCGAGTCCAGCTTGGCCACCGTCTACATACATCCCTTGTACTATAAGGATATCAATACTATGCAGGAATTGGATAACAGTGGCCTGAAGGTGGTCTACAAGTACTCCTCGATGGCGGATGATCTGTTCTTTAGCGAAACATCGCCATTGTTTGCCAGTCTTAATAGCAAACTTACCTGGAACCGAGATCTGCGAGCGGATATCATCGATGAGGTGGCCAAATCTAGAAACAAGGCGGGTGTCTCTAGATACACTTCCCTGATCTTGGAATCATCGCATTTCACATTGATGAGCCAGATCTGGGTGGTTCCTGAGTGCCCCAAGTACTATACCATTTCGTATGTCATGCCACGGGATTCTCCCTGGGAAGATGCGGTGAATGCCCTGCTTTTGAGATTCCTCAGTGCTGGACTGATTGTCAAATGGATTCAGGATGAGAAGTCCAGGGTGGACATTCAGATGCGACAGAAAGTACTGCAAGCCAATTCCGAATCAGAGCTTGTAAGGGTCCTCACCATTGGTGATCTTCAGTTGGCCTTCTATGTGGTCATCGGTGGGAATCTGTTGGCTTTTCTTGCCTTTTTCGTGGAACACTTTGGGCGGCAACTGCTAAGGAAAGTCTTTCATTAAAAATAGTATTTAAATATCACATAAAAGTATTACAAATATAATAAAGAATATTTTGTTTTATTTTAAATATTAAAAAAAGTCTATAAATAGTTAACTACTTTATAAAGAGTCCGTAAATTAGGAACTTGTTTCCAAAAGCATAGACCAAAAAGCCAAAATCAAACGAAACTAAAACCAATTTTGCACATTTTTTTTATTGTCATTTATTTTCCCATTTTGCAGTTGGAAAATTCAGCGAACATTTCATTTTCGCTTGCAACGCTTGCAAATTTCATTTTCACAAAGGCCAGCGGCGAAATTGAGGCAGCAATTTGCTGCACACACACACACACACATCCATACCACTCAATATGACCAAAACGGGCAAAACAGCCAACACATCGGCTGATATAATTTGGCCAAGTTAACAATGATACGCTCCAGCGGCGATTGCAATTCTGGCCGAGACCAGTCACGGGTCAAATCGAATTGGCAGCCTCCAAAATGCAATTGGCGGTTCAAGGTTGTCATTGCGAATGCAAAACGACAGTCTTAACTGGCTTTAAGGGATTTTAATATGATATTATTGTTATTAGTTTTAATGGTTAAAAACTTCTTAAAGGCAGATATTCAATTGTCTTCTTGTTAAAAATCAAATTTCAGAGTTTTACTCTATTAACATATTTTAGGTTTTAGTTTGCTTATAAAAATTAATTTTTAAAAATATTTTATAAATTATTATTATTTATCTAAGGTCACAGAATGTGAACAAAAAAAATAATAAACTTATGATTATATTTATTAATGATAGATTATCTTTTTTAAACTTAAACTAACCATTAGTTGAGGAAATTTCTAAAATAAATGTTAATTTTCTTACTTAAGACTGTTAAAATCAATGTTAATTTTGAAGTTTAAATATTTTAACAAACTAAGAAAGTTTTTAAAGCTTCTTAAGCATATTCACATTTAAATTTAAGTAATAATTTTTAAGAATTTTTAAAATTACTAACTTAGAAAAGAATCCCCCTCTTAACCCCTTTAAACATGATTATTCCGCTTATCACTGCTCTTAATAACAACCTTGTAAGAACAGTTAAACCAATTAATTAACCGAAAAAATTGAAATTGATATTTATTCATTGATTTAATATCCTTTTGCCATCATCAACCACTGTGCCCGCACAGACACTCATGGACGTCAATCGTTCGCCTGCGTAAATTTGTGTTTATTTGGCATTTTGGTTTCTGCACACGAAATGACAATTAAACAGCCGCAATGCGAGTGACAACAACGATTACAGCAGCAACGCTGAGCAGTTTATTTAAATATTCAAATCCGCATGGAGAAGGGCGGAATTTGGTATTCGAAATTCGGGTTTCCCAATTCTACGGCAGAGACATGCAGACACATGAAATATGCGCGAGCTCAAGATGACTTAACGTGACAGTTACAGCAGCATTAAACAACAGCATTAAATCCTGGCCAAATCTAGGAGATCTAGGAGACTGGAAATAGCAAATTTGAAATTGATAGAATCTTCATTTTAAACTTATAATATTATTTAATAATAATAGAATATTATACAGATTAAGTTTAACAGGAAACTTCTTTTTAGACCTCCTAAAACTAGCTTTGTTTTAAATTATTTAACTTAAATTCTTAGCAAAGCAATGTAACATTTATCAAAAGTGTTTCTACTTTCTTTTCCTTTAGATTTCCCCTTTCCTTGTGTGGAAATGGAAAATGAAAGAGTGAGTAGGTGTTGGGAAGTGACAAGTGGGGGGGAAAGACAAGTTGACACATTCCTACGAAAAATATTGCGAACGCAATTTTGAGTGCCATTTCCATTTCTCCATCCCTCTGCCACTTTCATTGATCTAATGATGCTCAGATGTCCTGCAATTTCCACCCATTTTCCTTCTTTTTTCTTCTCCTCTCACCTTCTGTCAGTTTTTTCTTCTTCTTTTGGGGGCCCCACATTGCCAGTTGACAGGCCATCGTCGCTTCGTTCACTTTCTCACCCACTTTCTTTTTCATTTTGTTTTGTTGTTGTTAGCGCACCTTTGGGAACAGTGTTGTCCATGAAAAAATCGAAAACAAAACTCGAATTAGATAAAAATATTAAAAAAAAGTTAATAACTTAAAAAAAATTAAGTAAATTTAATATTTTTTAACGATTTGTCTTCCTTGGTAGCACTATTTTTAATCTTTAATTGGAATCTATTTAGTTTTCTTATAAGAAATAATTATTTTAACCTTATCTTGTCAACATGTCGTATGCGCAATATTTGCCAACTTTTCCTAATAAACTAATCAAAAAGTACAAAAATTGAACGAAAACAACTTGTTATTGCTCATCACTTTTGGGCAACTGAATAATTTGATGAGTCCCAGTGCAGCAGAAAGAGACAGATGAAGCGGAAAAGAAAGAGAGGGAGAGAGAGAGAGAGAGAGGGAGCGAACTAAGCAGGACATTTCGAAGAGACACGTGACGAGCATGCTAATAAAGTACCAAGGAGCAGTTCCTGATTTAAATATCAGCAGCAGCAGAGTGCCGTGTGCTCTCATTTAACCCTCCAAAGACCACCCCCCAAAAAAAGAATGGAGAAAACTCGAATTTGATGATCTCGTTAATGGGAAATTGAAAAGCACGTAGTTTTTCCCGCTCGGTAGTTTCGCTTAGTGGTCATTTATGGTTAATTAATGGCTTTGATTGGCTTTCGGCTTTGTGTCCAGATGTTTTATACATTTCCATAAATGTTTTTCAACAGAAAGGAGCAATATTTACGACCAAATGCGAAAAACCAGAGACCATCAATTTTTATTACCAAAAAAAAATAAAACAGAAAAAAGAACAACCGAATTCCAAGGGGCATTTTCTATACACTTGCGGGCCATTTTTTAAGAACACTTTTAGGTTGAATTTTCTGTAGTAATTTATGGATTTGGCAGGCTAAGAGTGTTTGGAAATCCTAAACTTAATTCTTTTTCACTAATTTTTATGTTTAAATATGTTTTATCAATGTAAGAAAATGACTTAAATTTAAGATTTATATTTTAAAAATATTACAAAAAGCAATTTAGTTTAAACTTAAATCAGTTTTTCTTTTTTTTTCATTTTATTTCATGACTTTATATATTTGCTAGTTTAACTTAGCGATATTTACCTGTAAAACTTTCTCCTTTACCCCTCTGCTTGCTCTGCCTTTAAGACAAATGCAGTTTGGGATAAGAGAGTGCATGAAGTTGAACCCCAAAGAGCGGCCACCCAGGAAAAACTGGAGTAGTTGCTGCTTCTTCTCCTTTCACAGACGAAAATTCTTTACATTCCAGCTAAAAATAAACTAACAGAATAGGAAGAAAAAAATGGAAAAATAATCAGACCATAAGGAAACGCAATGAAAAACTATGTAAAAGCAAAAAAAAAGAGGAGGAAAAAAAACAACAAAGCCAAGGCACGCGCGCTCATTGAGAAACATCAAAATTTTTGGTTTATTTCCAACTCATAACTTTTGTTTATCTTTGGCCGCTTTTTTGGATCTGCCGCCGCTTCTTCTTGATATGTTTTCCTGCTTTTCTCTCTCGCGGCCCTGCATTTTGTTTTTGTCCGCTGCCGCGTTCGGTTCCAGAAAAAAAAACTAAGGAAAATCTCAGTAAAATCTGGAAAATCAGCGTAATAAATCGTTGTCCCTTGATTCGCCGGTTGAGTGTTTCTGTTACGAATTTAATATTTTCCAGTAACTTAATTAGAACTGACAAGGAAAACAAAAAACTAAACCAAAAATAACAAACAAAAATAGGAAACCAAAATACGAAACAAAGAAAGACAAACAAATACGGTTCTGTTTTCTATTGTTTTTCCTTTGTGATTTGCTTTTTGTGTCTAAAGTATATAAACTAAAAAAATATATATATTGTAAATCTTAAAACAGCCTTAAAACAGCCATAAAACTCAACGAATAAAATCATATTTTGTTATTGTTTTTTGCTTTTGCGGTGAGTAGCTTTTCTTCTTTCTGTGGCTTTTTGTCTATTTTCCAGCTGGATTTTTCTATGTTTTGTATTTTTTATGATTTTTTATTTAAATACAAAACGAGCATTTTTATTACGCCTGATAGTGAAAAATTATGGTAATTTATTTTGCCTGCAAATCGAAAAATTGAAATTGAAAATGGCGAATTTTTGATACCCAAAGAAATGTTTTTTATAGTTTTTTCTAATTTTTGAACTAATTTTTAATAAAGTTTTAAAAGTTTGTTTATAAATTTGGTTCTATAAAGTTAGCTTTATTTATTCTTTATGTTTATATTTTAGCTTATTCCATTTAAGGTGACTTTTAAGACTGTTTAAAAAACATTTTTCATGTGTTAAGATTTGTTTTTTGGTTTTTTGAAAAATTTAGTTTTAGTTTACTTATTGGACAGCACAAAAACAAAAAGGTTTATTTAATTGAAATAATTTTTTAAATTTTTTGCCACTTTTTCTTAGATATATCATTTAAGCCCAAGTTACCCTCAACTTTTAGGGTATCCGCATAACAGTGACGCCGTCATGAGAGCACAATTTTTCAATTAGTTTATATCGAGTCGATCATTGTATTTGGCCATTGGCTTAACTTGTTTCTGTGGCGTCAGAGATTTCGCATCGAGAATTCGTATGCCCTTGTTTATTTGATTTGTTCTCGACTATTACCCTGGCCTCGCCGTTGCCATTTTTAAATCAATATATATATATATACATATAGTAATACTATGGCCACTAATGTGTTTAATGTATTTAAAGGCAAAATTATTGAATCTGCCCTGCTGGCTCCTATGCGAAGCCATTTTGACACCTCATGTGAATGGTGGTGGTGGTGGTGGGCGATTGGGCCATGCCACGCCCACTGGCGTTAAACTTAATTGCCAATCATAATAATTAATGCGGCAATTATTTGCCTCGAAATGGGATTGGGAAATGAGGTTCGGAATTGGGATTGGCCAATGGGGAGCTGACACAGCCAAATGGGTTCGATCCC